CCGACCGGGATTTTTCAGAATTATTCACAACACATATAAATCGACTCAGTTTTTAACGCTGATTCCGAATCTGATATTAATTTTGAACCAAATTGTAGCTTTATATCACAACATCGCCTGAAAAAGGTCTCAAAATGCACAAAAATTGCATCCAGAAACTAAATTGCCTAGATATGTATCAGATGACCAGTAGTTTTGGGGTTTCCCAAATGCCTGGTTTTGTAGCTAATCAAAAGGACTGTTGAAAGGTAAAAACTCGAACTCGATAGCTATTAATATTGGTGATTTATTAGGAAAATACTGATGCCTATATCTATCACATGTCTCTTACAGATTCACGAGACTGCTTACGATCGTCATTCCGCTAGATACAAATGCAAATCCATTCAAAAATAACTCTTCTTATTCAGTTTTCCAAGCTAAACACGAATCTGAACTCAATTTCTGTGCTTTCTAAAGATATTATATCACTCTGAGAGTAGAGTCAGTGGTCACCGGATAGGGTCGCATACAGTGTAGTCCATGCTAACTTAGCACGCCTGTATTTTCTCCTTGCGATTTAGTGACAAGGAATGTATCTTGATGAGATATATGTCTTATAGAATAAATGCGAAAACCTCGGATTTAAATTCAAGTGTTATGTGTACTTCAAACAGTGAAAAGGTATATTCACTTTGTTTCTTATTTTTTTAGATAGTTTGATCAAAATCAATCTACCATCAATTAGTTTTACCTTTTGAAGTACACATAACACTCGGATTTAAATCCGATGTTTCCACATTTGTTTATTTATTACTATTGGCAAACGAAGATCTCTTGTAAGAAAGCTACATCCTTAGATTTTGTTCTACAGATGAAAATATCTTTCTTCTACAGTTACTTTCTTAGTAAACGAGTATGCCCGATTTTTATCATGAGAGATTAGAATCATACATTCTAAGTCAAATCATCCCTGTTGCATAGATCCATCATACAATTGAAGAGAAGCGGTAAGAAAAGTTTACAAATAACTTTAGTGTAGCTCAATATGAAAAGAATTATACACTAGTTGGTATAGTTGAATCGTCCCTGTGGGAAGGTTCGCCAGTCTGTGGATGTCGGTGGCATTGTTTTCGGCAGATTATAATTGCTCGGTAAACCAGCAGCCATATCTAGGGGTGAAGGTAAATATCGCCATGCTCGGTGTGGATCTAAAGTTTCGACACTGGCACGCGCAATATCAAATGTTTTCTGTTGTGTCATACGCACGTGATTATTTCCTTCAAGTCCTTGTTGATTGGTTGCTAATGTTGGTGCTTGCATTTGCATCGTTGCAGGGATTTGCTCTCGATTTGAAGAGCCAATTTGATGAGCTTCGACGTAGAGCCATTGACCGATACATTCAATCAATGGAGCTGCATAAAGTTGTTTCATCCAATGTATAGGAATAGAAGAACGTCCATAATAAGCACCTGCCAATTGGCCGTAGATAGCTGCTGTTGAATCTGTATCGTCGCCTAGATTAACAACTTTGAGGACACCAATCTGAAATGAGTTTTCATCGTTCCAAAATGCCCAAAGCGCTGCTTCCAAAGACTTGATAATGTAAGTTCCACATCGAATACCACTCTCATATCCTTGTGGTTGCTTGTAAGATCCAAGACTGACACGATAAACTTCTTCATGGAGTCCTTTCGAACCGAACCATGCTTGATGTGCAGAGTAGAAGTCATTACTCAGAAGAGAACTTTTATGTTCGCCACGAACTGCAGCCACGATAAGTGCACCTAAGTAACGACAAGCATCGATAGCTCTCGGATCACCATGAGTGAGACGCGCACTTTGACCAGACAATTCGACAGCAGCCTCCGGATTTTGATAGAAGAGTATTGGTACAGATGCAAGACGAACGAGAGCATTATTCGTTGCTACACCTGGCGTACCACAATTGATATCGAATTCTGTTACTCGAGTAACATGACCCAATGGAAGTTGATCGATTTCGGCATCGTTTTTAATATGATAATGTCTCTTGAGAATTTTTTGACGATGGAAAAATTCTTCTAATACATCTCGTGTTGCGTTGCTAATATTGAAACAGTAACCTGTAGATGAAAGATATCCAAATTTGTACCACCAAAGATAGCGCACCATTTGATCATACGGGTTGAAATTTCGTTGTGTTAGAAGCGATGAAGCAAGGCAAAGAGCCATGGACGTATTGTCTGTCCATTGGCCAGCTTTAAGACCCTGAGTACCACCAGCTTGCATGTCTCGCACTGGATAACTTATGAGATATTGTCGAGGACGATATTTAACACTTGCTCCAAGTGCATCACCAATTGTTAAGCCCACCAGAGAACCAAGTGCACGATCAAACGTTTGACTATCACCTGGTCGAAAATTTGGCAAAGTATACGTGATATTACCGGGTAGTACAATGTTTGGTGGAATCGGAAATTTTATCATCGTGCAAAATAAAACTATCTGAAAGAAACCAATTTCAATGAGAAAGGAATGTATTTTGATGCGATTCTTAGAATGAACCAGTTGTGAAATGAAAGTAAATAAGGGAGTCATTAATCAAAATATTTTGTTAGATAAGGAGAATTTTCTTTCATCTTCACTGGAAAAGAGTCACAGTAACATGAAAACAATCGGTGGCGTTCTATTGGACGTCTCAGAACTCATTCGCCAAATTATAAAATATTCACTAAGTAAAGATATCTACTGAGTTCAAAGCGGTCCTCAAAGATTTCGGCCATATCTACTGAGAGTTATCCAGTATGCTAGACGTTTTCTAACCAGTGCTGAATATAAGAAAGATTTTATTGGATCAAAATAAATACTTTCTCGTTGTTCATCTCATGAATAGCACATTATAGTAGATAAATCCTGAAAACAAATATGTAGCTAGGCTTCTATCAGTGGTTTGTATGTAAACTATCGGGAATCAGTCAATTTCACCGTGATGGCATGAAGGGATTTGCTATTAAATTCAAGTTCATCTGATTCAGAAGATAAACATTTGAGATTATTCGACCTAGTTTATGATCTGACGATCTTCGCAATGTTTTTTCTAGGCAACCATGCTTAGATGAGTATTTGCTCCCCTACATAAAGTTACCTTGCTTTGCAGAGTAAAAGTTCTATTGAATACCAAAAAGAAAATATTGAAAGAAAAATGCTCTTTTTAAATAACTGGTGCTCATTTGTTGATTTCACTCGCAGCAGTACTTACACTTGAATAGCTACTGACAACCAGACAAATAAACAATTCATATGAGAGACTCGACCACTAATGACATCGTCGCTTGTAAGTTCATTATTGCGTATATTAAAAAGTATGCAGTACGTTTCTATGCTATTTTAAATTCTTTGTTTTGATGAAAAGAGTAAAAACGCACACAAGAAAAGAATCAAAAAAAGCTAACCGATCGTCGTTTGTATTCTATTTAAACAAAAAATATTTCTAGTTTTGATCAGTTAGTTTTTGCGAACAATAGCAACCAAACTTGTATCTTGACGTCCTCTCAAGCTCAGAAATCATCGTCATTTGATTGGCTGTAGGAAATCCTTTACAAGCGAGTACATGGGAGGCAGTCGTAAAAAAAAGCCTGTGTAAATGCTTCACGTGTTGACTAAAATAGCAAAGAAACGTTTAAGACAAAAAGAAATCGAAAGTCGGCTATTTCTCCTTCTGAACATTATTCAAGTCAACTAACACACATGAGCAGTGCACTATATTCTGAAAAAAAGCAGAGTAAATTTTTCCATACTAAATGGATCATGCTGCTAAACATTTATCAGAAACTAAGTCGTTGAAGCTGTATGACTTACATAGAGAACTGGAGATGAAGAGCATCGCTGGAATTCTTCTAAAATGGTTTTAAAATTTCAATTTCAATTTCATGCAACAAAAACCAATTCTTGTAATTATGGATGATAAGTGATTATATTATCTAATTTAAAATAACTAGGAAGTGAATATCACATTTCTCTAACGTTCGAGTGATTATTGTCTAAATAAAAAAAATAGATTGAGACATGCGAAAGAAACGAATAGAATATTATTCATGTTCATTTATTTGATTCACATTCTGATATAGCATCTATTAATCTTTGATATAAATTAGCACTGAATTAACTCCATTTTTCTAACAACAAGTGGCAGATTATATGAATTGCATCGTGGCATATGGAAAATTATTGTACGCATACGTTTTTAGAAGAATTCTAAGTATTGTCATGTTGTTCTGTTTCGATTTATCATTTTCATGTTATTCAAATTAATGAATAAAACAAATAATTCAGATAGTATATAAAATTTTCTTGTTCTTATTCAATTTTCACAAGCTCGACTAGCATAATTTCACTTATTATTATCTTACGCACATAAAGAAAAAAGATAGAAGTAAACAGTAGGCTGATATGACAAAATAATTTAGGGCGTATATACTTGAATTCCAGCTAGTATCATTTTGATCTTCGAGGAAGGGCATAAGTAACTATGGCCTATACGTTTTCGAGATTTTTCCAATGTATTTTCTACGAATATGATTTGCATTTGAATCAGTTTATTGCTAATATTTAACTCAAGCATATACAGTAATATTTGTCATGAGAAGAAACTTGAAAAGCTGTTAAAGAACACACTTCGAATAGAGAATCAGTGCATTTTTGCAATAATTCAATCCGTGAATGACAATTCTCAACTATCAGTAATCACTGTTAGCATCCCATTTGATTGTATGCTTGATTATATGGTGTGAGGCTTAATTTTGAATAAATCGGAGTATAATTTATAGTGCATAGTGCTTCTGATTACAATTCGATAGGAAATTAAAGTAGAATAGTCAAATTTTGCTGAGTCAATCGAAAAAGTATGATAAGTCACCATCGATGCCTTCTAATGTTTCTTGTAATTGGAGAAAAAGGATGCATTGATATTTCTCGTTAGAAAAAATTATATATTTAGAAATGTGCGTTTATTAAATTCAACTAAGAAAAAGGTAAAAAGAATGTTGCAACAAAAAATATCGAACAATGAAAATATTGAAGGATAATGAAATTGAGATAAAAATGATGTCGAATATATTATATGTAATAGTTCAATTTATTTAGATGTAAATAGTTTTATTGACGTTTTGGAACAGAGCATTTTTTGAGCGATCATATACACAAATAGGATCCAATGGAATCTAGACATAAGTGATGCAGCAGAAAATAGAGGTATTAACAAAAGTGAAGTGAAGGTAAGAATGTAATTTTATTCTTTTTGTATAGAGCTCATTCAAAGTACTTATACAATATTGTGTTGCATGTATCGATGCTAGTTTTTATCGACCTTATGGCCACCAAAATAGAATTCTAATAATCTGGCTCGGAATCTAGCTACTTTATTTTGGAGACATAGCTAAATAGTACAGTGCCTACTTATGTCATCTTCAAAATTTTCGATATTTTTATCTTTCAATATTCTTTTTTTTCGATATTTTCTATTTCGATATTTTTTCTTTAACCTTTTAGTTTAGGCCTTTTCTATAGATACCGATTAAGCCCTTAAGCTTTTGTTTTTCTACTATCCCTCGCTTGACGATCGCATTAAAACTAAACGATATTTAGCGAGCATCAATTTAGAATCAATCTCAGCACAGTTGGAATGGCATCGATTTTTATAACCCTACTAATTTTACTTTTACTCGAAAATTTCACGACAAGTTTGCACATCATACAAACCAACGAGGATAAGCATGGTTTTCAATCGGCTAATTATGGGTATGGAAAATAGATCTGTATAAAACGAGAAAATTTCTTTTGTCAATAATATTTTCAATGTAGATCGGTGACGGAACAGCGCGCATTTCAACTTCTTTCTATTTCACTGACTGGTCGATCAAATCCAAATGCTTTCCTAGAGCAGTTGTACGTTCCGCCTGGAGAGAGACCGATTAAGTTCTTCTGGTCAGGCTTCGGTATTGCTGCTAGTGCTGAAGTGGCTGCTGAAATAGCTAGCTACCACAATGGGGTGACTTTGGAAATGATACTTGAGTGGCCAGAGAATGCTGCTGTCAAAAAACATATGTGCACTTGGCCAGCAAGGGGCGATGTATCACCAACTGCCGAAGCATGTAAAGAGCAATGGAGAAGACTCTCAGAAGTATATGCCGAGAAAACACGAGGTAAACAAAACTACTAACTAAACGTCTAAATAGAAATCATTGTATTTTAAACAGTTCTATAATCTGACTTTGTAAAAAATATTTTCGTTTAATATCTACCCAAAGTATACTAAAAAAAACAATTCTGCTCAATAGTTTTAGTTTTGAAAAGCATGTAATGTAAACATGTACAGACAGAAACTGATTTCACAGTCTAAAAACGTTTCATAGAAAAGTTTGCATCCATTTCATTTATTCGCGACAGCAAGAGATCAGATAATAAAAGGCAGTCGATAGATTCTTCACATCTTTAATCGGCCATTGAGCCGTAGCTATTGAATTGAACTAGTGATTTTGCTTCAGGTCCTGCTATTCCGATTCTTGGTGAACAAGTAGCACCAACTAGTGTGTGGTTGACACATGAAAAGAATGCACTGCATAAAAGTCAACAGAAAGGTAATTATGTCTATGGATTTCAAAAGCCAATGGATCTCTATGAAGTATACTGTATTAAAATGGCTAAACACAAAACAAGTTATCCAGAACTCAAAGAGAAAATCTGTACCAAGCAAACTGCCTAAATATGTGAATGAATCCAGAGATCGGCAATGTTAGTTTTGCTGAGGGCTCTTGATTTTTCTAGAATGAATAAAATCTTCAACTACTTTATTTTCTACGATTGCTCTTACTTGAAGATTGTCTACACAATATCTTATAGACAAAAATAGCTCCGACTATGATTGAATTGCGATTCCCTTCTAGTAAAAACAATGAATTCAAACATGAGCTAATACTATTGTCGTTGGACTTAGACGTACAATTTTAAAATTACTAAAGATTTCACTATATCAATTGGATTGGATATGCACCATCTACATCTATGCTTTGGATATTATCCTAATTCTTTTAGTGTCGTGGGAATCAATAGGTTTGATAAGTAGTTCATAAAAAAATTGATCAATTAGAATACATCAGGAAAAGCAGTCATCTTTTGAATCAATATTTATGAAAAATGACTTTATCTCATGAATTTCTTGGATTTTGTAAATGAGGTTAGCTCGTTATTAAATGAAGATTTTCATTCAGAGAGGTATTAATCCAAATGGATGATGGAATAGAACGTTTTTTTTTTCAATTCCAATGTTTAGATCAAACATAAAGACCAATATAGTACTTTTAATCAAAGAAATAATTGATCAAAATTTATTTTAACTGATATATATATATATATAGAAAGCATACATGAGATAAGAAATTATCTAATACGTATTCGATAATATAGAAAATATTAAATGTTAGGTGCGATAAAATTATACGTGTATATTATAGTTAATTTGAAATTTATTATCACCATAAAATACACTACTGTTATCGGTTGAATTTTAGATCACTTTTTATGACAAAAAACTGACTGTTTATCGTAAATGTCAACTAAATATGATTTGATTGTTTTTGTAGTTGACGAAGTTATTCACATAATCTATGAATATAGGAAATTGATTTAGGCTTAGTGGAAACGAGTGATTGTCTAAGGCAAAAGATGCTTTTAAAACGATTTTATTGTGTGGAAAATGTTGACTCAATTGTTATTTCTAGTATAACTTATGCTTATAAAGGTGTACTCATGAGAAGCTGTTTACCAATATCCATATTGTAACACTGGTGTTTTTGTTAAAGATTTTCTTTATTTTTTGAATTCCCATATATAAATGCTTTTCGTATTCTAATATTTGATTACCACTAATTGCTTGATTTTTCATGTTATAATAACAATTAGATCATACGATGAAACACTTTACTAAGATTAGCACTGGTATGCACATTTCTTCACGCTCTCTTTATGATTTTATCAACAGCAGTCGACACTATTTCATCACTGCACTCACAAGATGGGCTCTCTTTACTACACGCGTTATATTTTTTTCTTCTGTTTTTCGCTGATCGTTTTTTCTGCCGCGATATAAATCTGATGATGACACACACACACACACACACACACACACATTATAAAATGTCAATGTCTATGAAGCTTCATTTTGAACTATTCTACTTGTTCGTATTACATACCTCAAAAAAGGTATCAGAAAAAAAATCGCATTATATCTTTTCGTTTTTATCCATCAACATTTATCTAGAGATAGATAAATAAACGAACATTACAACATATCCGCCTAATTTTTCTTAAGCCCTACTGTGAAAGATATAAGACCATAGATGGCTGCATTTTCTCTTTCAAATGCGATAGAATAAAAGTATTTTTACCAAGACACCTACGCGTGCGTTTAGGGGCGGCGTGGTTGTTTTATATTCTGCTGCATTATGCAAAGGTTACTCATTAAATAACTAAAAAACCAACAGTTTACTGCATGGGAAATATATGATTCATCTGATTCTCATCCCTCTTGTTCTCTTGCGATTCTCTACTTATTTTATTCTTGTTTTAGAACACCGCAGCTCGAAGCTGTGGTATCAATTTATCAAACACTTCATTCTTCAGTTGAATTACTCTCACTGATCGTACTTTCTCTCGTAGCTCTCCTTTTATATGCAAAAATATATCGAATTGATTGATTCATTTCACCGTTCTCTTCTCTTTCGTCTTCTTCAGTCCTGTGGCAACTTCACCAATATTTTTTAATGCAACTATATAGTCTATTAAATGAAACACGGTTGCAATACAATCACCAAAAAAAGGACTGCGTGCGACAGAAGGATTAGTAATAAGGTGTTATTGATATTACCGAGCAACGCAAGTGTATTTGCTTTTTTAAAACTTATATTTGTCTTTCTTTGACAATATCCATCGACCTTCACTTCCACATGGCGAATACTACGACGAGTTCCGCTCAAAAGCTACAAGGTTCTTCACTTTCACAGTTTCTTAATACTCTCGTAATCGCTGCAATCATTGCAATCATTCAAATTACTATATTCGTCATTATCAGAAAAAGATTCAAACGCATCTACGAACCAAAAACATTTCTTGGAGACATAAAACGCCGTGTCAAACCACTACCGAGCGCTTTTTATAGCTGGCTTTTTGCGTTATTGAGGATGCCACAAGAAGATTTGATTCGTACTGCTGGTTTTGATGCTTACTTCTTCGCCCGTTACCTTTATGTTCATGGTCTCTTCTTTCTGTGTTCGTTTGTTGTCCTAGCAGCTATTTTATTTCCAATCTATACTATCGATGGTAAGGGTGAAGCTTATGATAAAAATGGCCTCGACATACTGACTTTCGGTAATATTCTACCGCTTCATTCTTCTCGTTATGTAGCTCCATTGGTACTCGCTTATGTTTTCATCGGAGCATTTCTCTACCTTCTATACACAGAAATGAAAGGCTTTGTGAGAAAACGTCAAGCACTCTTGTCAAGTCCTATATATCAGTCCCGCGCCAGTGCAGCAACCATACTTGTTACTACCATACCCGAAGCATATATGTCTGAAGATGTTCTCTTTCGAATATTTAACCAATTTCCAGGCGGAGTCAGATACATCTGGCTTAATAGAAATCTCGGAGATCTTCCTGAAAAAGCAGAGAAGCGCACAAAACTTATGGAAATACTTGAAGCAACGGAATGTAAATTGATCAAAACAGCAATGAAAATCGAGACGAAACGTCGAAAAAAACTCCACAAGGAAATGTCTTCGGAAATTATTGAGGAGACAATTACAAACAGCGAACAACAGACTATTCATAAGTATATTCCAGAGAAGAAACGACCGACGATGAGAAGTGGATCTATACCAGTGTTCTCATCTTTATGCTTCGGCAAAAAAGTCGATACGATCGAATATTGTAAGGAGACTGTTTCCAAAATCAATACGGAGATCGAAATAGCGAAAGCAACACTAAACAATTATACTCCTATAAATTCTGCATTCATTCAATTTAATAAACAGATTGCTGCTCATATGGCCGCTCAAAGTGTTTTAGCTTCCATTCCTTTAGCAATGACACCTTGTTACAACGATATAAAGCCAACGAATATTGTTTGGTCAAATTTGAAGCTGACTTACTACCAGAAAAAATTCAGAGAACTTATCGTGTTGAGTGCAACTATTGCTCTCATTGTTTTCTGGGCAATTCCAGTTGCTTTTGTTGGCATCCTTTCTAATCTAACGTACTTAACAACCAAGCTCACTTTTCTTCAGTTCATTTATAACCTGCCGAGCGTTCTACTGGGCTTGATTACTGGTCTTTTGCCAACCGTTCTCCTAGCCATTTTAATGGCACTTCTTCCTATTGTATTAAGATTATTGGCAAAAATATCTGGAATTCCCACAACAGATGCTATTGATCGTTATGTTCAAGGATCTTACTTTATTTTTCAAGTCGTTCACGTCTTTCTGGTTGTTACGATTTCGAGTAGCATTTCGAGTGTCATAGTATTGATCATTCAGAATCCAACAAGTGCTGGAACAATACTCGCTGCAAATATTCCAACTGCAAGCAATTTTTTCTTTAGTTTTCTGGCATTACAAGGATTGAGTGTAGCATCTGGAGTTTTATTACAAATTGTTGTACTTATTTCATTTTATCTATTGGGAAAACTATTCGACAATACACCACGAAAAAAGTGGAAACGATACTTTACATTGAATAATCTGGATTGGGGCACAGTATATCCTCCATTTACGAATTTCGTTGTTATCTCTCTGGTCTACTCGATTATAGCACCGCTGATGCTCGTCATTGCTGGAGTGGCATTCGGCTTGTTTTACATCGCCTATCTTTACAACATGTTTTACGTTTCAGATTTTCCAAACGATACCGGTGGTTTAACGTTTCCAAGAGCAATCTATCAGTCATTTACCGGAGTTTATCTTATGGAAATTATGCTTGCAGCGCTTTTCTTTATGGCACAGGATGAGCATGGTTTGCAATCAGCTATCGTTCAAGGTGTATTAATGTGTGTGTTGATCATTATTACTTTGGGCGTTCAGTTTATGATGAGTTCAAGCTTTGATCCGCTCACACATTATCTGCCTGTAGACGCAGAAGAATTTTCGCAATTGAAAATTTCTGTTCCAGGAAAATTTGCATGGGCAAAAATGGCAATCAGCACTGTGAGTCGCCCTCTAAGATCAGCTTATCGTACGGATACTGTCAATAATATGGATGATGCAGTGATTGAGCCATACGATAATACAATGGAGAACGCATATATGCATCCAGCATTACGTGAACCCCAGCCAATAGTTTGGATTCCAGAAGACAATTTGGGTATTGCATCAGCAGAAGTACAGAACGCTAGAACTTCTGGATTGAATATTGCTATATCAACTGAGGGAGCCTGGTTCGATCAAAACATGAATATCAAAATTAATGGTTCGCCTCCGGACTATATCGAAATGCTAGAAAAAAATACTTTCTCTAGACGATTTTAGAATGATGTATTGTTTGGTAAAAAGACATCATTTATCGTGTAAAATGTATTTAGTTACTGGTTCTTGTATTATAGTATTGAAAGGCAATCTATTATATTAATGCCGACTTGTTCTTGTTTTTTGAATTCAAGCTGAATATTTAATTCATCAATAATTATCTATTCAACATTCATCACTAAAACTTTAAAACCTGTAAGGCTTTTAGTCATCATTCAAAAAAATAATTCTATACAACTATGCTTCCATGTCAATTCTCAACGAAAAAACACTATTTCAACGCTCAAATTCATCATTGTGTCTCACTAAACAACGATTTTTAGCATGCTGTTCACACAGATTTTTCTTCTGCTCATTTGCTTGATTTTATTTTTAACACCCTCAAAAGTCATTTTTAGCATGCTTTAACTGTTATAAAGTTCTTTTATACAAGTCTGCCAGAGTTCATCTTTTTTTTTAAATAGAATTTCCTATTTTAAAACAAACGAATTTTTATGCACAAATTTGATAGATGTACATACTTGTATTCTGAATAGCGGTAGAATTTACTAAGTTTTTAGGTAAAATTTTTCAAAATTAAATTCAAATATTTATTGTTAAAATAGTACTATTATAGAGAGAAATTTTATATCCATTAATACTGGTGATAATGTTTCTGATCTGTTGTGCTGTCCTTTGATTTCCCAAATCACATAGCTCAACATGGTCACGTTCAATAGACTGTTGGAAGCATGATTGATTTTCGAACACAAAGCAATCCACCATAGAAATAGACAATGAGATTACTCATATTTTGACAGAGAACCATCCTTTAGAAGAAAAGAAACTTTTAATTTTCTTAGAAACAACGTTTGGGGCAAAACTAAAATGAACTAATCATTGAACAAACTAATGAAGATATTTCCCAAAAAATTTTTTTTTCTATTTTTCGATTAATTCATGGTCAACCAATAGCTATAGTTCAAACAAAAAAAAAGGTTCATAGATATCTATCCGTATGATCTGTTTAAATCTATTATCGATAGCCATTTTATTGTATTTTGGTCATATATTGGTCTAATTATTTCTATATCTGTAGAAAAATATAGGACGACATAGATCTTTTTCTGATAGGATAAATTTGGAAATATACTTCAAACTTTTGGTACCTGATCATTTTGAATCTTTGAGAAACAATGAAATTTCCTGTGGAATACTGAACATTTTTATCGTAGTGTTTTGAAGGGCAGAAAAGTAAATAGCAGTAAAGTGTCTGTTAACTCTAGCTTGTGTATCGTCATCTCTTTCAACCATCCTTGTCAAAGCTATACAACTTGCATAGATTGTGCCGTTCCAAATACAGCCCAAAAAAAAAATATTGTAAAGAACCGACACCAGCAAATATAAAAATCGTCCACAGTTAACATCTTTCATATTTAATGTAATATATTAAACACACAAATAAAGTTATGATTGAATCAAAAAATGTAGAACTACTCTGTTAGACGTCAGTTATTCCATGACTAAGTCGTTTTGAAGTTTTGAACTCGTCATAGTCATTTCAAGAATACAATACTGTCATCAAGTTTACATGATCGAATTCGATCGACAATGTGCTTTTATAAAAGAATTTTGTATACAAAGATTTTTCAGATTCTACGTTTTTCGAATCATTGTATCACTTGTACTGAAGATTGTATTGATTCAGACACAAGTGTTTCTAATCGATTACATTGAGTTTACTCAATTTTCATGAATAATTTACATAAAAATTGTTTCTTTTTTTATGTGATCATTCAACTATGTCAATATAGAGAATACATTCGACAGTTATCTGCAATGAATTAGAAAGATTCAACATCAGAACAATTAATCTAACACAACATTATCTTTTTTGGAATTTTCAATCACATTTACCTTCTATTCACTACTTCTTTCTTTCTTTGCGTTGTAAAAATAAGTGCTAAATCTTCAGCATTACGATAATGATATGCAATTTTCTAGTCTCATTTGATACACTTACGTAAACAAAATTCTCAATAATATTGTTCAGATGAAAACTCACAATTCTTCAAGACTAATACACAAAAAAAAGGAGATATGCATGTTTTCATTGACATAGACAATGTCAATGTTTCTCTATAACTAACCTAAGTATTATTTGGTAGAATTCGATGCGTTTTATGGATCGACATTTCTTCTTCGAGAAATATAAATATTCAAATGTTAGACTTTTCGACAGTATAACGACATTCTGTTCTCTGGTGAGGCGTAAAATTTGTTCACACAAATTCTTCTATATGTATATGTGCGAGTCAAACATTTAAAGATGAAAGGAGTATGTTTCTATCGACATTTGACTTGACACACGCCAGTCATTCTACTGATATCAACACCTCATAATGCACATAGGAGACGGCGAGTTTCAGAAGCTACTGACAATGCCATAGAGTGTTAAAATATAGAAAGAAAAAAGTTAGATATTCTTTTTGTATTTCGTTACATATTTTGACTACACAGAAGAGCATGTTGATCGACAATGTTAACGAGTCAATCCTTTGTTTTATCGTTGAATTTTCAGTAAAGATAGCGTTCATTCTATTCAGTTATGTTAATGGACAAGTATATCAGTAGGTGGTCGACAATAAGTCATTGATCCGTGAATTTTTGTAAGTGATGATAATGGCTTTAGGCTACGTTTCTAGCTACAGAGAAAAAAAAGAACACCTCAATCTAATGATACGAGTGTAAACAGGACAAAGAAAAAACAAATAGATAAAATTTTCTTTTCTGCTACTCGTCGTATACATGACTAAGCTAACGATTTTTTTCAAAATATTTATTTGTTTGTCGATGAACAATTATTTTTCTACTCTATTATTCAAAGGTGATAAACCGATCGTAATGAGACTACTTTATAGCTGTAGTACATTCAATGAACAAGAAACAATGTTGAAAGATCAATCATTCGCCTGCTTTATTGACAAGACATAATAAAAGCTAAATCGTGAATGTTTATAGAACCTGATTGGGTTGCGAGTAAAAAAATTGGTTTAGTTTACTTAAGAGATTCGAATTTGCGTTTGTTTACTAGAAACTATTGAATCGTGAGCATAGCCAAATTATATTTTCGAAAAATAAATTTGTAGTTTGATCTTATCATAATGTGAAATATTAATATATTCTAGAATATTTATAGAACTATCAAACGTAAAGAGAGAGAGAGAGAAAGAGACAGGGAGCTTTAACTGTGTAAAATATGTATAGATAAAACATGAATTATTTTCTCTCACTTTTCTTCTTCTCATACACCCATGTGATGTAATGAACGATTAAATTGACACATTTTTCAAACTTTTCGATTTTTCTCTAAAGCAACTTTAATACCCGACAAGATCAAAGCAATATATAGTGTTATTAACAGCAGTGACGGTGGCTGATCGAAGAAAAAAAGGTGAAGGTAGCTTAAAGCAGCAAGCAACTTGTTGATTCCAATTTCAACAATATACATCTATACATATATACGTATATATGTATATATATATATATATATTTGTCAAAGAGATGCGGCATCAGACTGATCGATCGATAAAAATAATAAATAGCTGATCTTTGTTCTTGAAAAAGTTGTTTTCATTTTCAGTTTCCTTTTAAAAGAAACGCTGCAAACACCGTTACTATCTTAACACATTCAATCATTAATATTTTATAATTGATTAAATTTTAGAAAAGTTAGTTTTAGCTCTTTACACTCACACTTACGTGTGCTACTTTCGCATATAGCATTGATCGAAATAAAACAAAAATGAATATGAATCTATAATTAGGTGTAAATCTATTCGTTATGTGGTGATCATTATCTAATACAAGGTCGCATCAGATAGTCTATTGAATAATGACTGATCAAGCTAAACGCCCCTACAACATTTTTTTTCTCATCGTTTATTAAGGATTCGCTTTCCAAACTGTGTTTGTATATCGAACATATGATTATAAAAAGAGAAAATAACAAATTTAGGCCATATGCGTAAATAGACAAGCATCACACGAATTTCTTAATGCCATCAGGTTGTTATGTAATGCTGTCAAATCGACTCATCTCTTTTTAATCTTGTTTTATACATGCGACAGGTCAAAAGGTGAGAAAATGACTAACTGCCAATTGCTAGAAAAGAAAAACCTTGAGACAAGTCAATCAAGATCACAGTTAGTTGTGATTCATAAAAGACAAACTATAAAACAATCGACTTTGTTTTCTTTTCCCCTTTTTATCCATTGATTTTCGAAGTCCATCGTCATCTTGAATAGTTTTTCTTTAAGTTATCTATGGGCTATACAGTTCAAAATGTCGCCTTATCAAATCGAAACGATGCCCTTAATTGTGTATTATATAATTCTCTCACGATCTCATTCTTTTATTTATTCTTCTTATTTTAATTTTATGAGCGGATCATTCGTTTATCGTTCGATAATATCCAGCTTGTTTACACTTAATAAGGTAGAGGTGAAAAATACAGCTGGCATAATTGAATATTGATTTAAATGATGATTAGATCAACAAGTAATGTATAAACGAGCCTCTCATACGAATTAAGTAAAATTGATAGCTGCCTAATTGTATTAATAAATATAAAGATATAAATATAATCTCATATAAATGATTTCGTTAACTACGAAAGTTAAAATCACTTGAAATATCGTTGTATCATCAATGAAATTTCGTTGCTCTCACTATCATTCAACGACAAATATAAAACTTGAGTCAAATTATTATCGTTTCTTTCATTGGTAGATAATCGAGAAAGAGAAAGCGCAAGAGAAACAGCAACAAATAACTTCTTTCTCCTTCTATTGTCAAAAGAAAAAGTATTTCTATTTTTTGTCCAGTTGTTATTCTATATAGGAAGAGTGTGATTACTTGAGCATATATTTGTGAAAATTATCTATACATTAACAATGCTTGATAATAATAATTTATTTCAACGTGGTACTGTTGCTTCATCCGCCTATGCTTCAATGGCTGCATTTACCGCTGCTGCTAATATGTATAATTCATTCTACCCGACAACAGCAACAACGCAAAATGATCCAGTAAATTATTTTGCTTGTACAGGTAAGAAATATTATTCTAAAATTTCCAAAAAAATGAATTTTATATGTATTTTAGAAATGAAACGAGAACAACTTGATCCAAAAGTATCTGTTAAACTTGAAGGAATGGATTTATGGAAAAGTTTTCATTCATTCGGAACTGAAATGATCATTACGAAGTAGGTTCAATTTATAACTGTCAGTTTATTTTTATTTTGTTTAACTTATATAGAAATGGTCGTCGATTATTTCCAAATTTTCGTGTTTCTGTTAGTGAACTTGATCCTAATATGAAGTATATGTTTCTATTAGATATTGTTCCAGTCGATGATAATCGATATAAATATCAAGAATCTGCATGGATTGTCTCTGGGAAAGCTGAACCTCACATCTATGGACAGTAAGTAAAGTATGAATGTTTTCACAAGCAATTGAAATCGAATATATTCTTTTTCAGTTATTTTATTCATCCCGACAGTCCACAAAGTGGTGCACAATGGATGAAACAATGCGTTCTCTTCAATAAAGTTAAAATAACAAATAATCCAATGCAATCTTCTAATCAAGTAAAATTTATTTTAATCGTAATGTGAGCATCGTTGTTGAACAGTTTTATTTTTTCAGATTCTTATAAATTCGATGCACCGTTATATAATACGATTACATATAGTTCAAGCAACCGATGAGTTTTCATTACGAACAGGCCCATTGAGCACTTTTCTCTTTGATGAAACTATTTTTATTGCTGTTACTGCTTATCAGAACGATCAGGTTAGTTGAAAACCATCAAGTGAAACGAAAAATGTATATCTAATCAATTTTTTTCTTCAGATAAAAAACTTAAAAATCAACAATAATCCGTTTGCAAAAGGTTTTCGTGAACTAACACATGGAAAAAAGTAAGGAGATATTAGAAAAAAATGTAACGTACAATTTTTTTGTCGTTGTTTATATTTTAGAAATAACAGTAAATCGGTCAAACGTCTACAAGCAACTTGTGCATCAAATAAATTAACAAAATACGATGAAAAACAGCTTTTATATAAAAATGATTCTTCATTATTATCTTCAAATTCATATTCTCCACCTTTACACAACACTATTATTGATTCAACAACATCAAGCTACATAAACAATAGTATTGGTGATCATGAACAAAATAGCGATGCACCAATATCAAATTTTCCTTCGATATATCAACGTCAATTTTCATACAATCCTTATCAAAATGACCCATCTTCTGTGATCTACAATCCAACGTATTCCTATTTCGGATCATCGTCGGGATCAACAATAAATTTTCCTCCATATGGATACTATCCTACTTCAGTTTATTCAAACAATAATTATAATGCACCATATTTTTGATGCAGAAAAAAAGATAGTTTTCTTGTACGAGTCTATATTTCAAATAAAATTATTCATAGATTTCAAAAAAAAATGCAACTAATTGAACGTGTTAATACATATAAAACAGAAATGAATAGTTAATTTAATATTTCAAATGGGATTTTCACACTAGATAGATATATCCTCTCGAGTATTGCTCACATCATCACAAAACAATATTGAAACTTTCAATGATTCTTTTTGTGTATGTGTGTGTGTCTCTCTATTCATAAACGATTATAGTCACACATCATAAAAAAAAGAAAAATGTTTGCTTTTAGAGTAGTAATAGTTGCAATAGCAATAAATATAAATGGTCTAAATGTTTATTGAAGAAAAAGAAGAAGCATAAGACAATGTTCCCTACCTTCAAACAAAAGAAAAGAATTAATTTTTATTGGACGAATTCATTGATTGGACCAAACGTTTATATATATATATAGAGAGAGAGAGAGAGTCCTCTCTCTTTCTCATTCTCTCTCTCTCTCTCTGTGTCGTCCTATGTCTTTCTCTCGATGTAAATGATTTTCAACTTACACATATTGAAGCAACCTAGAAACGATTGAATTACGTCACACATGCTATCCTACCTAACACCATCAATGTTGCCACAACTCTCATCATCTGATTCGACACTTGGGATCTGTTCCACATCGTCCGACGAAGGAAACAAATCACTATATCCAAATGAAGATGATAGTAGCGGACTGGCACACTCTTCACGTATTTCATATCCGCATGCGTATCATCATCAGTCACCAGTACCCCTTGTTTATGATCATCCGGCAACACCAACATATGGATTTGGTTTTAGTTTTTATGATGATATGTCTCCATTTACTGGTAGATACTTTTTGAAGAATTTCTATTTCAATTGAAACTATTTACATTTATTGAATAGATCCAAGTCGAACGCCCTATACATATATACATACGACAAAACGTTCTGATCCAAATATTGATGTTAAACTTGAAAACATAGATTTATGGAAAAATTTTGCTGAACTTAATTTAGAAATGATTATAACAAAAAGTGGAAGGTAAAAAGAAATTTAATTGTTATTATCGCTTAAATAAACTAGCGTATACTTTAACATGTTAACTGTGTATCATGCGAGCGATATATTTACATATGATGATCATGCGTTAGAAACATCTGTTCGTCAATTGACATCAATGACGAATTCAACAACTAGTGGATTTCATTTTTTGTTGTTGCTTTTCACACAACTATAGATCAGGTTTCTATGAGTATGCATATTTAGACGTATGTTTCCAACATTTAAAGTATCATTGGCTGGACTTGAACCAACACGTAAATACATTGTCTACATGGATGTTATACCCGTTGATAATCATCGATATAAATATCATAATTCTCAATGGATGATTACGGGTGCAGCTGAACCACATAGTAAGTTCGATATGTTTTTTTATTGATGTCAAGCAAATGAAGTTTCTGCTGTTGTGTGTTTTTAGTGCCAGGTCGATTTTATCCTCATCCAGATAGTAATTCAACGGGTGCACAATTAATGAAGCAACCATTATCATTCGGTAAACTTAAATTAACAAATAATACTGCTGATCAAAATGGACACGTAACTAATTTTCTTTTTTTTTACTATTTCTTTGACTCGAATTGAATTAAACTGAATTGAAAATTTAGATTGTACTGAACTCCATGCATAAGTACATTCCTCGTCTGCATATTGTGCCAGCTTATAATACGCCCAGTGCAGACACTAAATTATCCATGGCACCATTTGACAATGTCAATATATTTGTCTTTCCAGAAACTCAATTTATTGCTGTTACTGCTTATCAAAATGAAAAGGTAAATATTATGATATTATTTCAGTTTTTTTACTATTTCGTGAAATACTTCTTTGACATGTGATATTCTAGGTTACTCGATTAAAAATTGATCATAATCCAGTAAGTGAAATCGGAAAGTATTCGAATAAATTTTACAATTTCTTGTAATCTTTTTAACTTATAGTTTGCTAAAGGTTTTCGTGAAAATAATGGACATGCTAATCGGAAGTAAGAATTAATAATTCAAATTTATTTTGTATAATAATCATCGTTTGTAGAGATGTAAAATCAACAAAGCGATCTCTTGATGATGATGATGATGGAAATATATATTCAACACCAGAACAATCAAAACGACGTAAATCAAGTTCAGGAGAAGAAGATCAAATACCTCCGTCACATGTCATTCATACAAATAGTTCAATTAATATACCAGATTCAACAACTTCATTGGCAGATTTATATGAAAATCAATTTCAATCACATTTCTATGATCCTAGCTTGTATGCATCACCTTATTCTCGGTTGGCTCCAACTTACCCATTTTCTTATACACCAATATCATCAACTCCAAATGCGAATCCATTTTCATTAGCAGCAGCTGCTGCTGCAAGTAGATATTCATCACCGTATTCTTTTTCTTCATCTTATTATCAATATCCTACTTCATCGTAAAAGTGTCCTTGTTTTTTTTTATTTGTCAATAAAACGTTGATGAAAATTTTGATCTCTTTTTTCTCGTTTTTACAAAACGTAAATAATATATACTTATTATTTTTAGCTACGATGCAATCTTGAATTGAAATCCGATGATGCATGAATATATAATCTTTGACATAAAAAAGAATTGATATAAACTCTTCGAATAAATTAGTAAATATTATGATTATATTGGGATTCCTGTTGGGAATAAAATATTGAAATTAATTTAACTTAAATTTTTGTAGAAAAGTCTTTTTCAGCCATAAAATATATTAATAATTAGATATAGAGTAACAAGCAAAGCTATTCAACAAGATTTATTTTCATGTCTGTTTTTTTTAGTGTGGCTACATAAAAGTTCTTTTTTAATAATAATTTCTATGAAGAAAATCATAAAATGACATGCAATAATTAGTACGCAACAACTAGAACTTAAGCAGGCGATTTTGTCTACACTCGACCGAATAAGATATCTTCAAGTAACATACGAATGTTTTCGATTGAGCTACGGAAATCTGACGATAATGTAGGAAAATTTTTGTTTTCTTTATGTTTACGTTGAAGTTCTATTTGGAAAATGCTCTATTGTAAGATTGCCGTTCTCTAGGAATAAAAAAAGTCTTGCAGAATCAATTGATGTTTCGTTTTCGTCGACTGTTATTCATTTTCATTGTGTTTGTAGTCGGAATAAAGTAAGATTTTCGAATTCTATCAATTCAATAAAATTCTTTCTTTGTTCTATTCGAAATGAACTCCATCGAAAAATCTTCGTATTCCATCGCATGTGTTCTATTCCGAGTAGAACATTCCAATATAAAAATATTATAATTCTCATAAATGCTGAATTATCTTTATTACATACGTTTTAATCTATTCAAAGAGAAATACAAATGTATCTATGAATACACTAGCTGAAGAAATAAGTAATGTTCAATAAATAGAAAAGAAAGCTTTGTCTATCACTTTCTTTATATATGACGCGTTAGACCAATGTTTTGACCTGCTTGACTTGCACCTTTATTCATTCCATCGTTGAGTAAACCAACCATGTTTTGTCCAGCACGTAATTGTTCTTCTGTAAATTCACGTACATTACTTTCAGCCATTTTCGGACCTAGTGTTGGTCCATTAAAACTTTTTCTTTGGGCCTAAAAAAAAGAAATGGCATATATGAATTGTAATCCTAAATTTTACTGAATACCTGTCGACCGAGAGCATGAATACACTGAGTTACTTGAGCGATATTTCGCTTCTCAAAAAGATCTACCGTTTGAAATAATTCTGCATCGGGTAAACCATAAGCACGAGCAGCATTTTCTATTAAAAATTTATTCAACAATGCATAAGAATAAAATCTATAACTTACGAAAAGCCGAGACATTTTCGCGTAATTTGAATCCCCCACCTGATGTACAGATCTTAGAAACAGAGCCTGGCTGAAGTTTATTTATTAGTCTAGTATTTTATCAAAATATAAATAAATAATTTGGCCTAAACTTGCTCAGAGAAAAACAATAAGACCTACTTGCATAAAACGATTCCATCTTTAATTGCATCTTCATAGGCACCTCCAGGAAATTTTTCACCAATTACAGCTTCAATCCACTGTTGAGCTTCTCGATCAAGTTCTGGATTACGTTTGCCCGACATCTAAATAATCCTAATATGCGCAAATGATTGCCAGGCATACATTAGATGAAACGGTAGAAAAATAAGAGAAATAAGAGAAAAACGAGCACATAAAAAAGGAACGAAAAAAAAAGATGATATTGATCAACGAAATGAATGCCGCTTTTGTCAATAACTCGAGAGAAATCTTAGTTCATGCTTGGTTGCTAGGGAAAATATGGCCTATATAGTGAAAACAACTATCGCATGTGCTCTTCAACGACTGTCAGTGGTGATAATTTTGATGATTTCTGCCAATACAACATAGCTGTTAGTTACTTCTCTTTATTTCTTCTATCAGGAAATATGGAACAGCTAACGCTTATAGTATCGTCTAGTTTAGGAATAATTCATATGTGCTTAATCAAGAACTAGTAAGAAAAAGGAAAGGAAGTATATATAGTCGATTCATCGTAAATATTATATCATATTGGTGTTTTTATGATAAAACTTGCAATGCTTAGTGTTTTATTTTTATGTATGATGCAATTCAAAATTCATAATTAAAATTTCTATTAACTTTACTACATTATCAGCCAATAATCCATAAAAATTTTTTAAACAATTCTTTTTTTCCGATCTCAGTAAATACTGAATAAGAATGGTAGTATTCGACTAGCAAAGGAACCTTAACGCTATCACTGAATGTCATTTGTATATTGCCACGATTGATATATATAATATATACAAGAAGACATAGGCAAAAAAAAGGAACGACGCAGAAAAGAAGAAAAACATAATAAGGACAAAATTCGCTGTTTATAGAGAGTACGGTTTTCCTTGATAGATGAGAAGTGCATAATCGCATCTTCCAGAAATGATAGATGAAGCAATGTTGAAAGATGTCATCCTTTGCAATGTCTAAAATCTTGAAAATGATGAATGTTTTAATTTAAAAAATTCTAATTATATTCAAGGTCATTAAAATAAAGAAATTATTAATTATTACAATCAACAATGATTCATATTAACTTTCGAAGAAGAACAAAGTTTCATCAATAATATATGAATCATAAATGACTAACTTGAAATTATCGCAAATAATCTACAAGAACTTTTCTCAATCTTCTAGTAATGAAACTGAGCGTTGATTGTTTTATTGACAGAAGTGTCATATAAGTTGTCGGGAAAACAATTCGTTTCAACTGTCTAATGTATTACGTTGTTTCGTCATTCGATTGATTCTCTTTGAAATTACAGCTAGTATTGAAGTAAAACGTAATTTAATATAATTATTATTAAGTAGAAAATAATCGGAATTTGATTCTCAGATCGATTAATAACAACAGTAAAAAAATAAAGTTGCTCTAATAAAACAACTTACATTATCTTGTAACATTGATAATTTATTGTCATGAACAGAAGTGATCACGTTAATAATAAAATATTATTACTGTAAACCAAGGGGGGAAAAGCGGATCCCGGGATCCAATAGGATCCATTGGGATCTGCCGGGATCCATTGGGATCCATTGGGATCTATTGGGATCCATTGGGATCCATTGGGATCTATTGGGATGTATTGGGATCTATTGGGATCCATTGGGATGTATTGGGATCTATTGGGATGTATTGGGATCCATTGGGATCTATTGGGATGTATTGGGATGTATTGGGATGTATTGGNTGGGATCCATTGGGGTCTGCCGGGATCCATTGGGATCTATTGGGATCCATTGGGATCCATTGGGATCTGCCGGGATACATTGGGAACTATTGGGATCCATTGGGACCTATTGGGATCCATTGGGATCCATTGGGGTCTGCCGGGATCCATTGGGATCTATTGGGATCCATTGGGATCCATTGGGATCCAGTGATATTCATTAGTATAAATTATGTTTTTAAGAAATTATAAGAACAAAAGACATTAATAAGATTTATATTGTAAAAATTTACAGATAAAAACGCGATAGATGAGGTAGACTGGCCATAACACAAAATGCTCATAACTCGAACTTTTGCATTTGACATGTTGTAATATTAGATTATTAAGAAAAGATATTACCATCTTTCAACAGGTAAGAGAAGAGCCATTAAGACATTCACTTATTTATGTTGCTTTGAGACTATCCATGCACATGAGAACTTTTCAAAATATTTTAGGAATTCTCTACAATAAAGAAGAGAATGAAAGGAAGTCGCTGTGTTATGATATTTCAGGAGGGGAGGGGTGGAAATTTATGAAATTGAGTGAGGCTCAGTTGAAGTTGATTTTCTATCATAAGCTAGCTTCTCACAATGAAATATGAGATAAATTTACGAATTTCAGGTGGTAAGCCGCATCGGAATATTTACTTGAGTTTTGTCACAAAAAAAGCTGCTATATCTCGTGCTTTTATTTGTAGACAGAATTTCTAAATTTCCATTGAAAAGGGAAAAGCTAGAAAAAAATACAAAAATCATTTATTTAGGATTAAAAATTGGTTCTAAAAAGAACCTTTACTTGAGTATGTAGGGTGCTATTGTAGGTGTGCGTCTGACGAGCAGATGATACCTACATCTTCAACTTAAGTGACAGAACATACTTCCTTGTGATTATCTCGAGAATTTAGTGAAAGATCAGTAAAATAGATAAAGTTATTTCTTCTGTAGATTTTTTTGTGGGGAACACAATATTTGGCTTTTTTATTTTCTCGTCAGCTATTGGAATATCGATCTAGCAGTTCGTTTTGATAAAACAGTCTTTCAAATCTAGAATTTAGCACTGTTACTATGCTGAAAAAGACAATATTCTTTATATAGTTAGTATTTATATGAACGTGAAAGTATACCTTGATTATTATGAATTATACAGTAATCTTCTTCTGCACCCATAGGATCATTGAGACATATACATTTGAAAAAAAAGGAGCAGCTCGATATTCAGATATCAGTATAAAACTAAAATTTATTCAGATTATAATTGTTTAGTCAGCATTTTTTTTAAATCTTAATTAATCATTATGACTGCATGGCACTGAATAAAATGAAGAGAATGACTATAATAAAACAGAAGATATATCCTCTGATACAACTAACTTTTGTGCTTACAGATTACATAATTCTATGATTAATTAAGTTTCCATGTTATTTCATGTAAAATAAGATAAAATGTTTTCCTATAAGTCATGCAAACACGATTACTGATTCTACTATTGCCTCAGTTTTTCAGTTCTCTTCATTATAACCGGGCATCAGAGTCATCCTATATTACTATACTATTCGAAAAAATGAAGATTCTTCTGAAGAAATTTATATTTTGTTTTAAATAACGACTTATGTACAACTTTCAATAATCTGAATACCTTTATATAGCCAAGCGCATAGATATTAGTGACAAAAATATGTCAGCGTTCAATCTGCCATTCAGTCCACTCCAAGATCTGCCTGGTTTAATCTCGTATTCTCACTTTGAACAAGTTCCATATCAGACTGTTGAAAAATATTTCGTTAAAACCCTCTCTAGTCCCTGGATAGTGGTTGGATTAGTTTTTCTTGGAAAACTATGCAGACAAAATGGGATTTCAGATAATACTGTTCTCGATTAAAGAGTTGAAGGAGGATTCAGGACGTTGTAAAACATTTTCCATAGAAGAGCAACTTTTATAGAAAATTATCTATTAGTATTTCAGCCGATACTGAGTTCTCTCATAGATGATTGCAATACTTGCAACACCATTGTCTCAACACATTTTACCAGTAAGGGCTCCAATTTAATCTATATCTTAGGACTAATGGAAGTTTTAACGAAACTTTTTCCGACAATTTAACATCGGACTATTTCAAAGTGGAAATCGGGATTGGGCGCTAACAAATATGTATATACTGCTCGTTCCTCTTAGTTGCCAACATGGTTAAGCTGTGATGTGATTGTTTATTTTTTGTTTTATTAAAGATTCTCGAGTCAAACACTCAGCCTTTTTTTACAGGATCCAACTGACATCGGACTTTGATGAGATATTGAATTCCAGATGAAATAAAAAAATAATCATTGATGAACAGTTTTAGTCATAGATTACCAATAATGATTTTTCAGTTTTTGTTTAATTAGTTTTATTACTCTCTAGGTTATGAGCGGTTTCAATTTTTTTCCTACTAGCTTTATTGATGTTCACTTGTACATACTTAGCATAAGATTTAATTATTCAAGCTAAAGGTCCTAAAACTTAGCCTGAATCAGTGTCCTATATATGTACTATATACGAATGTAGGATCCTATATAAATGATACTTTTAATTCCTATATATTCCTATATTCTCACAAAGTGCCTCAATGAAGCCAGATTGCACCATATAAATAAACGTAGCAGAGGTGGCAACCCCAAAATATGATGGAATTTGTCTTTTCGAATAAAGCTAAATTTGCATGTTCCCTAGTCTCACATTTGTTTTTGAGTAAGGCTATACGTTCTGCTGCTTATGTATATGATTCACATTCTCCACCATGTTTTAGCTTTTTGCTATACAACAATAAACTCCTTAACAACTTTTAACGAAATACCAAAAATTCCGAAAATCTTTCTTGTAAAGAAGATAAAAAATTGACCAAATCGATAACGGAAATCATCGAAAAATAATATTGCTTAACTGCATCAAATCTTAATGGACACCTGTGGGAGCCTAGCAAGAAAAATCCGAAGTCAATATAGTCTCAGAAATACTTAGAAACATTCATCAGGTTCCACTGGGATCTATCGGAATCCGGGATCCGATTTTTCCCCCTTACTGTAAACAGTTACGTAAAACTATTCACACCGACATAATTTTCTAAAAACAAATACACTTTCTTTCTTGTCATTCGAGTCATTGATATTTTCATTTAGAACATTTTTATTATTAATGCAATATTTTTTTTCTTTGTATTTTTCCAACTGTCTACCGCATCATTCACTTAAACATATTTGTCCGTAAGAAAAATGTGATGTATTAGCTAGTTTTCTAAGGTATCGTTTTTTTATTGAGTAAATAAAACAATAATATGCATACTGATTAAATATCGTTTTCAAGCAAGATTAAAGCAATAACAGTCGGTAAAATAGATGAATAAAGATTGAGAGGAGATTCATTGAGATTTATTTCAGACGATGATGATTTGATAAAACGAAGTAAACTACGAAGTTCAACCATTCCAATAGAATCTTCAATAAATGAGTAAAGACGATCCAATCTATTGATTCGCGTTGAATCTGTATCGCGCGCAAGTTCTATAAGTACTTGGAGACAATGTTCACCTTCTTCTTGCTGCTGTTGTTCATTGTTATATGAATTTAATGTCGATGATGAGGTTGATGATGAAGATGGCAATTGAATATTTTGCAAATTAGTGAGAAGATTTTCAACAGAGGAATTGCTTAGTGTACGCTGTTGTGATTGTCGTTGTCTACTATGAGATCGATGACGATCATCTATTGAAAATGACCTCTCTGATAATTCTGATGTTGCTCGCGCAGTTTTAATATGACATGATCGATCTTGATTTTGTTCTTTGATTTGTAGCTGAAAAATATCAAGTTTATAAATGAATAAAATCTTGGTAAATAAATTACTTTTTCTCTTTGCAATTGATATTTAGATATTGAAGAGATACGTTCACATTCTGATGGAGCACCTATAATAGATCAAATTCAGTTTATTCTTGTTTACTACTATGAGGAATCGTGATACAGATAGTTTAGACTTTTCTTTTAGATTTTCAAACATGAAAGAAAATTTGAGTAGGAATTTTTTATTGTGAAATTATATGACAGATCATTGAAATCTTGATCCATATCATGCGAAAGAAAATGATAAATTTCATTTAATTCTAATCTACAACAGTAGCCTTCTTTTAAATGAATCAAATTTTCTTCTGAAATATTGAAATTTCCATCAATAGATTTTCAGTCGGATCTTCTGCATTTTCAGCATTCTGAGAGAAATCTAAAATAAGCACTTCCCCGTTTTTCGAAAAGTATTTCAGTTTTTAATGAAAATAAATGTCACATAATTAAGGTCAGAGAATGTTCTATTGCCAAGAAACAGCGATAATAGCATAATCATTTCACATGAACTGATCTTATTTGATTCAATTCTATCTGTCTGGTAAGTTAAAGAAATATAAAATATGAATGATTCACACGTCGATAGATTGATATATTTCTCATTCGAACAACGAATAATTATATTTCAATGGCCGTAGCAATTCTGTCATATTATTTCACCACAGAAAAAAACACATAAATTCGGTTTTTATTTAAAGCTCTCACTTTCATGCATCTCATCATATTAGTTTATTTTTAGAATATGGTTAAATTATCAATAGCATTAAAAAAAGCGTCTGTAAAAATTTCTTCCTAGATTATTATTATTTTAGTAATTATAATTGTTATATTTTTTTTATATGTGACGTGATAGGCCAAAATTTTGGCCAGATTGATTCGCACCTTTCGCCATGCCTTCATTGAGTAAACCAAGTGTGCTTTGTCCTGCACGTAATTGTTCTTCAGTGAATTCACGTACATTGGTATCAGACATTTTTGGACCAAGAATTGGTCCATTAAACTTTTTTTTCTGTGCCTGAAGAAGAAAACACATGCAAATGCATCACCATTTCAACAACAAAAATGCAAACAACTCACAGTTCGACCAAGTGCAAATACACATTGAGTTACTTGAGGAATATTACGCTTTTCAAATAAATCAATAGTTTGAAAAAGTTCAGCATCACCTAGACCATATGCACGAGCAGCATTTTCTATTCGAATTATTCAGAAACATCAATTAATGTACTACTTATGAATCGCTACTCACGGAAAATTGAAATATTTTCACGTAATTTGAATGCTCCGCCTGATGTAGCGTATTTCTGAATAGCACCCGGTTGAAGTTTATTCATTAATCTATTGATTTTTTTTAACAGATACAACGCATTACAGTTCAGAAATAAAGAAATTGACGAGGAAAACATACTTGCACAAGATAACACCATCTTTGAGGGCCTCTTCGTAAGGTTCACTAGGGAATTTCTCTCCAATTACAGCTTCAATCCATTCTTGTGCTTCTCGATCAAGATTTGGATCACGTTTTGCTGCGATCTAAACAGTTGGCAGTGATAAGACAGACATGACTCAAGGATGATAAGAAACGACATCCACAGTCAAAAAAGAATTTATTATCTATGTTCTTCTCAAGAGTCTTTCTAGACTGTTTTACTTCTTTAATGATATGATATCAATTCTACGATGAATTGCTAGCCTAGATTTAGATAGTGTTCTTGCTAGTAATATCTTGGTTTTTCTCTTCTGATCAATAATGTATGAATATTACCATTATTATGATTATCTGCGTAAGAACAATTCTTCGAACATTTATTTCTATAAATACTAGAGAGACGACGATAAAATGGAATAGCTACGTATGATAATATATGCACTACTATTTTCGATGTTCAATTAGTTTTTAACTCATGTTCGATAGAGAAAAAAATAGCAATAATTTGCCTAGTTCACCTTTGCTTGATTAGCAGCCAACGATCCATAAGCAGGCCCAACATGAGACATGTTCTTCGAATGAATACACACAGTAATAGTAAGGAATTATCGCCAAACAAAAAAGAAATAATAACGAAGAGTACGCCTATGTATTTATACAAATATTTCTGCACTAATCGATGATAAGGAAAGCACAAAAAACAATTGGCTAAACATAAATGAGTAATGCTTCGTTCTGTAGATATTCATGTGAACGCACAGAAAAATAACGGTTTTGTGATCTTTGGCAAGAGAAGATTATTCTAGAACAACTTGGACATTAGACGGAACGAGCGAGAAGTAAATAAATAGACGTTTTATTCAGATAAACATGAAGGAAACAATCATTTCTTTTGCGTATAAGCTGTCTAGGATATTAATCATCTTTATGTAGGCGGGTTTACGATGGTATTATTTACTATTTTCCCTTTTAATCACACTCTATGATATCATCTATAATTAGTATATATTTGATGAATATGTGCGTAGGAATATTACTAAGAACAAGACTCATTAATCTTGCTCAAGAATGATAAATGCCATCGCCCAATATGATATCAAATTCATACTTTTAAAGAAAATGATAATATCAGCAACAACAATTCTTCCAATGTTTCACTGTATCCTTGACTTTTAGGAAGTTAAATATAGCTGATTTCTTATTGTTTTTCTATTTTAGAATCGATTAATTTCTAGTGAATAAAAATTCTTTTCTTTCGTTTTTCTATCCAATTAACATTATATATTACAACATGAAAATTCATGCGTAGATGCGTTCTTCATCATACATAACGAATATATATATATATGTGTTGGCATGCATTCGATTACCTTACGATTGAGAGCAATGTCCATTCCATATGCTGGCATTGCTGATTAAGCGAGTTGACAAAGATTGATTGATGATAGACAGTATAATTTACTTGAATATAGGCCAAAAACCAAGACGTTTAATTAACCACTATACGACATACACACAATTAAATCATGATCATTTGACGATACAACAAGTTAATGAGTAGAAGAAAAGCTTTTTGTGACTGAAATAGCTACAACATCATTGTTATTGTTCACGTAATATGAGCCTAATAATATATGTATATATAGATATATATATATATATATTCATGCACTCAGAGGAAGATAAAAGAAACAGGATGTGCAATCCGCAAGTTGATGACCTCCAACTAACTCGCGAGCAATGAGAAAAGTAAATCAGAACCATGGAGGCATTATTTTCTTCGTTGGTTCTAATTCTTTTTTTTTCTTATACCGTTCTTTATCTCATTACTTCAGCTAAGACAAAAGATAGTAAAATGAATTAATAATATTATCGTTCCTTGACCTAAGAAGACAAGTTGATAATAGAATCTTATCATTATTATCTCAGCACAATAAGAAAATTGTTCTTGATCAATCTATTTGAACGTTATCTATTTCTGTAGTTTATAGTTCCATGCAACTCAAACCTATTTTAAAAACAAAAGAATTTTTCTAATAGACTATCATTCATGTTTAATCATGTTTTTGGTCATCATACAATAGAAAAAATTTTAAAACAGATATTCTATTTTACAGTAGTATTCGTTGGCAAAACATCTGTCAGCTTTTCAAGAATCTATCTTTCATGAAATAGGTTAATTTTATTTTATCAGTGTTATATATCGGTGAATCGTTTCGTAAAACGTCTACATCAAAATATATTATCATTAGTTTTAACTTGTTAAAAATTTATTCATTGAGGTCAATATTCACAAGATATAATTAGCACATAAAACAGTTTGAAACAATAATATTAATGTTTACTTTTTTCATTGTTGTTAGACTTTGCCTGCTATAACCATGTCCCTTAGTTGCCGAATAATTTGTGCCGCGTCTCCATCAAAACCAATTGCTCTGTTTTCTTTTCGTGCATGAACTGGTACATCAGGTGCATGCATATTTATACGAATAAGTCTTACATGCTTTAAGTCGCTTACTAATTGATCCATAGGCCAACGAAGTACGCTTGGTGTATTAAAACCAACACCTATTTCAATAATTGTAAATAGTTCATTTTTTTTATGAACTGCACGATGAACAAAATCATGATAACGATGTCGTTGATCATCAAAAGCAGATTCAATAAACCATTCACCACCACGTACACAAAAGAACATCGGTCCACCACAACGTGGACACCGAGGAATATATTTTGAAGGTACTTCCATTGTTTGTGGATGGACATGAGGAACACTTTGTTCAATATATGGACGAGCTTCATAGAACGATAGACGTGAACATGGTTTCAAACATTGAAGAAGAGAATAATCACCTTGTGTACTGAGAAAACGTGTCATATCCTTGATAAAACCGAAAATATTCTACTTGTTTTTCGATTATAATAAAAAAAAGAGCTTACGAATTTATTTTGTTCGAACATACCATCAGCATTGGTCGTTATTACAAAGGAATCCATGGGTTTATTTGATAATATCTGTTTAAGATCTTGATAGACAGAAGTTGGTCCCCAATTAAAGCGACATTTATCGACATGTGTAAAAAGATATCCCCACATCAGTTCTGGAGACCAATCATGCTTTCCTATGGCGTCATACATGCATCGCATGGTTGATACTTGAGTCATGCGAGGATACAATAGACGAAATGCTGCTACAGAAGTATAATCAAGTCCTACGCCATATTGAGGATTAACGGCAGAAGCAGATAAACCTGCACCTGAAGCTATTAGAACCGATGACGATTGTCGAATCCAATTTGCTGCAATCGATAATTGAGTTGAATCTGTCATCGTTTGTGAATGAAAACAAAAACACGGTGCGGTAGAAAAAGAAAAAGAACTAGATATTTTACCGTGTCACCAATGACGATGCAAAAAATGAATTCTATCGGCAACTCAATAAACAATGACTTAGCAAATAACTCTATTAGACTTCTTTTTAGAAGAAGATTTTCAAGTCACATAGCTATGATTAAAATTTTCAAGTTTAAAAGAAAGGTAAAAAACAAAGAAAAACAGCTGTATTTTTGTCTCTCTCAACTTTGACTATCTTATTTACAACATTTATTATTGTATTTTATTCATTTTATGGAGTTTTAATAATTTCACTATAAGCATATTTATGAAATTCTTCTTATTCATGGAAATCAATTAAAGATTTTCTACTGATCTGATTTTTTTTGCAAAATAATTTTCTTTATGTTCTATTCTTTGAATAGCACGATATTTCCATGAAATAATACTTTCAAATAATTGAGAAATAACATAAAAAGAAAAAGATTTACTCTTCTCAAAATAGTATTGTCAAGTATGATTTCTGTTCAAACTCGTGTAAGACATCATTTAATTAAACGAACTAGTCAAAAACCACTACTGTTCAATATTAAATTATTATCGATAAAATTAAGAAGATCTCTATTTGCTATCAGATACATTCACAGTTATGTTCATTAATTCGTCTGATTCGTAATAGAAATCAATTTCATACTTCTAATTTATTTCCCATAATATTGACAATCATGCGTAGCTAAAACTAGCCCGATTGTGAGAGCAAAGCAAAAAGTGAAAATCATTCTGGGATATAATTTTTCATTAATTCCAAATTGGCTAACCGTTCAGCATCACCACTGCAATATTCACAGAGATTAGCGTCGTGAGAAGCAGTGTCACATACCTATGTCTATTGATAAATAATAATAAATAGTGAATCAAATACATTGCAAAAGTTCCCCCATAGCTTGCAAGTTCAAACAAAATAGCACTTAAAAAATAGCTCTATAACAAACATCAGAAGATGAAAGTCAGAGTGATGTATATTATGCGTAAGCACAGTGAAATATTTATGATTGATAAAATGTCCTCATTAATAATATTATTATATAGAAGATCCATTCAATATTAACTATGTATTAAGATAACCTGCACTCTATTTGTATAATTGTTTCTATCCGTGGCTCCTTCAAAACAACCATTTAGTATTAGAAAAAAAAAACAAATATACAATATTGAACCTTAATGAAACAATTAACGTACATGCGATTTATAGTTTTCTATACATATTGATGCGTATGTTTAAATGTTGCCCTAAATTTCTAACTATTCGAAAGAAACAATTAACACCGCTCAATATGTTTGTTTCTATTTAATCAACATATAGATAAAAGTATAAAAAAATTCTTGTTATCAATTAAGAGCTGTATGCTGCTTGTTTTGCAAAAAATTTCTGAAACAGAAACCAAAATCAATATTCTTTTTTGATTAAACAAATATCTAAATTTACTTTTAGCGGTGAAAATTCATTAACAAAACTAAGACCAACACTTCGAAGAGCAACAATAGGTGAAAATTTTGTTGAATAAAGACGATTCAATGAATCTATGGATAATAATCGTGCTAAGCATTGCAATTGTCGTTGTCGTTCATAGTCAACAAGATAGGTTAAAGAACCTATATAGAAATGGAAGAAAATTAAAAAAAACACAATACAACATAAAGAATTCATACTAAAATCAGCACCATCTCGAACAGCTTGTTCAAGTATTTTCATAAGACATACTATATCACCAAAGCCCATATTGACTCCTTGGCCAGCCATTGGATGTATACGATGAGCCGAATCTCTAAAAATCAACAGTTAAGTATTGTTAGTTTAGTTTAGTTAACTAATTCCTACCCAACGAGTACTAAACGAGGAGCAACATATTGATTAGAATTGAGAAGCTAAATATTTTCAATAATATAACATTGTTAGTTAATAAATCCTTTTTTTGTTTTTGTTTTATTTTTACTGATAACGGAAATGCCGCTCTTGATTTTGGTTGAATATTAATTATAACTGGTGGATATTGCAGCAATGTTGATGAAACTATAACAAAGAATATTGAATGAGAATAAGATGAATATCTCAAGAACAATAATAACTGTTTTTCAAGATATTCATGAGATATATTTATAGATCTTGAACTCTGGTATAGATATCTTTTCAAGATACCTGGTATTACTTGTTGCCAATATGATCGCAAACGTTCTGTTATTGAAATAATTCCATTTTGTTTATAAACATCAGATGTCTAAATTTAATTAAATCAATTTAACACTTCAACTTATTTTCTTCTTACAAATGCTTTGTTAACTTCATCGACAAATTGTTCATCAGATAAATTCATCAATGTTTTGTGCATTGATTTTGGTACAGTCCATACAAGTGAACTATGTGTATTGCTTAACTATGAATATAAATAGATCAATAGATTCTATATATATATATATATATATCATTAAAAATATTTTTACTGGTAAACAAGCAACTGGACCTGTTGGTAAAAATCTTTGCCAAGCAACAATATTATCTGGCATCTAAATTTTTCAAATAGTAAAAGATATTTACTTTCAAATTCAAAATAAACAAACATTATCAGCTAATTGAAGTGTAGCGACAATACCAAATTGGTCATAATTCCATTGCATGGTTGGAATACGTGCCATTTCTCGAATACTTGATTGATAACCATCAGCTGCAATCTAATAAAACTTATAAACAATTAGTTAGAAAAATAAATCAATTGAACATACTAATAATCCTGTTCGAAGATTTATTTTTTCATCTTGTAATTTAATACGAATAGAATTTTCCTCATTTTCAAAACTTTTCACTCTTGAATTAAGTCTTGGCTCAATATTAAATTGCTTTAATCGTTCAAGTAAACAGGACTGTATAACATCATTTTCAACAATATAGGCGAGTGACTCGTTTTCTGATTGATATTCTTGATCAAATGTTATAAGTGATTCTGAACAAGCATCCCAGACCAATAAAAAGAAAATAAATAAATGAGTTTATTTTTACAAAAATATATTTCATCTTTTTTTGGTTTTTTCAAGAAAATAAATTCTACCTGCATTCGAGATACTTTTTGAACACGTATAGATTTCATTAGATCCCATGTTCCAAGTTCTTGAGAGAGAAAAAATAAGAAATAATTCTATTATAAATAAAGTAGTTAGCTAGAATCACACTTTCAAATAAATTTATTGATTGAGCATTAAGAGCACAAACACGATTACTATATGATTGATTTTTAGAAACCTTCGGAAGTTTCGATTGAGATTCCAGAAGAACAATTTTATGATTTTTAAATATGGGTGATGAGGCTAAAATAAATATACAAGTTGGTGAACAAAATAAGAATTAGATCTTACCAAAAGCAAGTGCCATAGCACTTCCAACTAGTCCACCACCAGCAATGGTAATATCAACATTTTCTGTAGGTATAGAAGTGTTTGGCAAGTCATGAGATATTGTTGCTTTAGACGAGGTGGAGTACGATGAAAATCGTACAGCTATCAACGAACGACGAAGTAACAATAATTGTCTCATCTGAAAAAAAAACACTGCATTAAACTACAGATTAAAAGAGCAACTACAGCTAATATCAAACTACATGAAAAAATTCATTCCCCCAATAGTATAAAGCGATGCTAGAGACCTCACCAATGTAACTTGTATGTTTCTTTTCGACCAATCTTGATAGGCTTATTTCATAAACCATAATTACAACCATTACATCAGTTGTTTATTGTATTCAATATATATATTGGAAAATTTCTTCATATTTATATTTACTTTTATTATAAATTTATACAACTTACGCAAGGATTTTTAAATATATCTATAAATATGTTCACGTATTTTAGGATCATTCATAACAAAACCAAAAGAAACAAAAACCATGCAACTAACGTGTCGTTTTTACAAAAATAATTTTCCTGAAACAGAAGATCTTGTTATGGTTAACGTCACCGAGATCGAAGAAATGGGTGTCTATGTTAATCTACTCGAATATAATAATAGACAAGGTTCAATTATTTTTATATCATTTTTGTTTTTTGAATATAGATTTTCATTTTATTATTAGGTATGATTCTATTAACTGAATTGTCACGTCGTCGTATTCGCTCAATAAATAAATTAATTCGTGTTGGTCGAAATGAGGTTGTCGTTGTTGTTCGTGTTGATCGTGATAAAGGTTTATTTAAATGAAATAAATCAAAAGAAAATATTCACATCATAACCACTATTTTAGGTTATATCGATTTATCAAAACGTCGAGTATCGCCAGAAGATATAAGTAAATGTGAAGAAAAATTTGTTCGTGGAAAAACAGTATGTTTTATAATAAAAAAATAAAAACGTTTTGAAAATTTTGACTTTTATAGGTGAATAGTATTCTTCGTCATACAGCTGAAGTATTGGGAATAAAAACCAATGAAGAATTTGAAGAATTATATGAAAAAACAGCCTGGTTTTATGATGAAAAATGTAAACGACCAGGTGCTGCTTATGATATATTTGTAAGAGCTGTTAGGTATAAATATTAATGAAGGAAAAAAAGGACTAATAAATCAATGTTTTTTGTTTCACTGTTTTTCAGCGATGAACATGAGCTTAATGATTGTCAAGTCGATGAAAACACAAAGAAAATTTTAATTAATAACATTCGTCGTCGTCTTACTCCTCAAGCAGTTAAATGTCGAGCTGGTAGATAGTTAACTTTTATTCTAGCATTCTAGGATTTTCCATTATTTTTATTCATATTTAGATGTTGAAGTTGCATGCTATGGTTATGAAGGTGTTGATGCAGTGAAAGCAGCATTAAGAGAAGGTCTTAGTGCATCCACCGAAGAAATGCCAGTTAAAGTAAATTTTATTTAAAGGAAAAAAAAGAAAACTTTTTATTCTTTTTATTTTTAGATTAACCTTATTGCTCCACCACTTTATGTTGTCACAGCAACATGTCTTGATCGAAACGAAGGTCTGAGTGCATTAAAAAAAGTTATCGATAAGATTAAACTAGGTATTGAACAATATCGTGGAATATTTAAAATAAAAATGGAACCAAAAGTCGTAACTGATGTGGATGATGCTGCACTTCAAGTAAATCTATATGAAACAGTTGATGAATATATATATATATATGAGTGAATTCTAACAATCTGATACCAATGACTTTTTAGCTGTATTTCGGTGATAGATTTTTTTCCGTCCATTGATTTCGCCAAGTTTTTTTTATCTGAATGCCTCACTGTCATGCCAAATTTCAGCGTTTTTACTTATACTGTTTGTGAGCAATGAGCTATACACTGTAAAAATAAGTCGTATTTGATAGTGAGCTGTGCTGGAAAACCGAAATTTTCGAATCATTGAAGAGAAAATCCAACAGATAGCTTATTTAGTAGTATGAAATGCTCATTGTAGAACAACACTGGCTGAATTTTCTACTAGGGCACGTACATTGAAGGAAAAATAAGGTATCGATAAAGTGGACAGCTGATAAAAAAAAGAATCATTTCGCCTTAATAGTTCTTTGTTGTGTTAGAAAAAACGATAATTTTCTATAAAAATCGATATTAACTCACTTTGTATTTTTAGAACGACATATTCGAAATTACATTGTAAATAATTCATGCAAGATAGGCTTGTTTTCATTCAGATTTTTTACCACAATTAGACTTCATAGAGTTGTACAATTTATATTAATTTCAGCCTTCTATCTCATTCTGTGACTGAAATTGTTACAAAATAAAAGACATGATAAAGGAAGATTTATATTAACGTAAGCCGTATCTCAGTTAATATTTGTTAAAGTATTGGAAAAATTGTTGTGGTGTAATATAAGCATGAGTCATAATAAAACACACTACTCCAAAATCATTAAGGTTCATCCTCATTTTATTTCATCAATTGTAACAAAAATTTGCAATTCACACATACATATCTTCGTTGTTCATTTGTAGGAAGCTATGTTTGATGCTGAACAGGAAAATGCCGAAAGACCTGGTGATGACAATGAAGATTCAGATGAAGATGAAGGTAACTATTGAAGAATTTCAAGATATTATTGACTGAATGTTATATTGTAGATGGTGGTATTAAGGGTAAATTAGCTGGTGAAGATGATGACGAATCCGCTGGAGCAACAAAAGAATCGAAAACAGCACCACAAAAAACTACATCGCTTGCTGATGAAGACGATGAAGAAGAAGATCAGGATTAAAATTAAATAGGATAAAAAATTTTTATTTGTTATTCTTTTTTTTCTCTTCTTTCCTGTTCAACAATAAAACAGATGATACAATGAAAGGTGATTGAAGAAGACGCAAAGCTTCAATATATGTCCATTTTTCATTATTATCGATCATAGGTCGTCTTAAATATAATTCAAGGCGATAGATAAATTGTTGAACTATTGCATTTGTTAATTCAACATTGATATTGTCGATTATTTTTAACCATGATAATTTTTCTTTATCTGATGAGATCAACATTAAGTAACTAACGTCAATTACACGTACCAACGTTTGAATAGATTGATTAAGTATGGATAAATGTTCACCAATAAGACAAGCTCGTCGTTCGATATGATCACATTGTTTGATGTCACGATCAAGACGTTCTATTAAACGATTGACTTTAATGGTAAAATTATTCATTGAATGAGGATTGGCGTGCAGATCAATAAATGTTTGTTTGCCATCACTAGCATTCAGGCGAATACAAATAAGAATATGGCAAGATGCTAGAGAACAGAAGGATAGTTTATTGTCAACATCATTATATTGGCAATTTTTTCTTCTTTTCTCCAATGGGAAATACCACTAAAAAAGAAAGATGACATGCATATTCATATTGTAATTTTATGTAGGCGAGATAAATTTAATTAACATAATTGAAATAATATAACAACCAAGAAGTTGATTCGTAAAAGAATTTCCCATTTTATCTTCTAATGTGAACTTGTCTTATATGATGAAATTCATTTTCTTGTTATTCTAAAAGTTAGTAAACATATAAAATATGTAAGCATGAAATAAAAATCTTCTATGTAAAATTTATCTAAAAAGATTTGCTTGATCAGCAGTTTAACTAGAGGATGTATATCTACGGGTGGTCATTTAGTGTTACTTTGCTAAATAAAGGAATAATGAATTTCTGTTTTCAAGCGATAATCGAGTCGACAGTATTCTAGAATTGTAGAACTCGTATTTGGGAAAATTCTTATCATTGAATCGATGCTATTTGACTGAGAACAGAGAGTTCTGAAGTGAAATCAACTTGTGCTGTTTTACTAGTATTTAGGGGATTTTAGTTAGAAAAATGGAGATTAAATTAAAACTAATACCATATTCTGAATCAGCAATAAAAACGGAGGAAACCTATGCGACTTTCGAATATACTTTAGATAGTTATGATTTTATCTAAAAATTCACCCCGACTCCACCTCAGTGTTTCTCGATCAAAACGTAGATCTTACGAAAACCTCCTTTTAATAGATTAAACAGACTCCACTTTGCGCTCTACTAGTATTTTACGAGTTTAGTGCTTGTTGGTGTTCATCAAATTCAATTTTTCCTGAGATTCGTGTTTTGGAACCCTGAGGGGAGTCGGGGTGAATTTTTAGATAAAATCATAACTATCTAAAGTATATTCGAAAGTCGCATAGGTTTCCTCCGTTTTTATTGCTGATTCAGAATATGGTATTAGTTTTAATTTAATCTCCATTTTTCTAACTAAAATCCCCTAAATACTAGTAAAACAGCACAAGTTGATTTCACTTCAGAACTCTCTGTTCTCAGTCAAATAACATCGATTCAATGATAAGAATTTTCCCAAATACGTGTTCTACAATTCTAGAATACTGTCGACTCGATTATCGCTTGAAAACAGAAATCCATTATTCCTTTATTTTTGCTTTATTTAATAAAGATAAAGGATCGAAAAAAAAATTATCATTTATTCTCTAAAGATAAAGGATTCATTTATCTATATTCTTTAGTATGAAGGAAAATAAAGATAAAGGGTCACCCCTATGTATATCAATAATGGTTGATCATTTTCATCGTTGTTATGATTCAAAATCTTATTTATCCATACACCTCTTTACTTATGAAAATGACTCATTATACAATATTCCCTTAATATATAAACCATTGAAAAAAAATGTATGTTCTACTAGTAATTTGTGCGATAAACATGAGCCATCATTCTTACCATTAACCTTCAGAATCATGCAAATATATGCGCATGACAATGATTAATTTGACAATCAGTCTGTCGCTATATATTCTATCTTATATTCGATAACATATCTATGGTCTTAAGATGAATTGATCTGTATTTACAATCGATAATCTTATTGCCATTGTTTTGTTGCATTTTACTTTTAAATATTTTTTCCAATGGTTGATTTTGATTACGAAAGCTCTTTTGTGAAACTTGATAAAAACACCATATTCAAGTAAAACGAAACTTTCATACGTTCTCTTCTCTCTTGGAATTATTACAGACACGTAAAATTACCCTGAATGACAAGGTCTGTTCGCTAAGTAAAAAGTAAATTGTGTAAATATGTAAGACATAGTCGATGGAATACAATAATTCCCGTGCGATTAGCACTAGTAATTAGTGGTTTCGTCGTTCACTCTTTCATGATTGCTGTAATATTTTTATTAATTGATAGTAAGAAAAAGTCTGTAAAGAGCTGAATTAGGCAACAAAGAGATTTGTTCAACAAAAATAAAAATAAATAAAAATAAATATTATTGTTAGTTTAGAAAAAAACTCAAAACAAAAAGATATTTTCAAGTAGATCACATTTGCTAAGAAAAATATATTATTTATGTTGATAACTACCACTCATTTTGTTCTCGATCACTATTATTTTGAGATTCAGGTATAACTTCATGATGATTCGTATCTTCTGATAACTTCTATTGATTATCATTTTGAATATGCGTGTTGTCTATATCTTTATGAGGTACATCTTCATCTTGATTTATTTTTTGTTCAGCATGGTTTGTATCAATATTTGTTTCATCGTCATCCTGGTTTTCATTAGAAACTTTTTCATTTTCATCTGTATCTCGTTCGAAACCTGGTTGTTGATTTAGGTGTTCATTGTGTGCTTGCTGATTATTGTTATCAGCTTGAGGCTCATCATTATTCGTCTCATCATTGTTCGTCTCATCATTGTTCGTCTCTTTTTCTTCTCCGTGTTGATGAATTTCATCTATTTTAGCTTCATCATCAGTTTCTTCTTTTTGACGCTCATCATTTACTTGTGGCTTTTCATGATCTATTTTATCATTGTGTTGAAGTTGAAATTCTTCAAGTGAATTTTCGTCTGTTACTTGAGTACAATTTTCACAATATATACCAAGTGCTTGAACTAATGGCTTATAAAGTAAACATTTCCATACTTGTTTTTCAATTTCGAAATATAATTTAATACGAATTCCATTAAAAATGCGTGCTTTACAAACAATATTTGTTATTTTTGATTGTAAATCATCTCCATATTGATCAAATCTATGATGAGCAGTAGCCGCTTTCAGGGATTCGTCTATAAGCGGTTGATCATTTGTTCGAACCCATTTAATAGCATATCGTCCGTAGGAATAATTAGCTACTAAAATAAGAAGAAGGATAATTTGCCAAATAATATTCATTGATTTGGTTTTATCTAGAAAATGAATATATGAGATAAAGATTTGTTATGTACAAGTAATGATTCTCTTTTGATTTAGTTAACAAAAACAAAATATAACAACAAGAAATATTGTCAGTCCTAGATGAAAAATGCAGCTTAGCTATGCATCGTAAAGCACAAACAGGAGACAAAAAAAAGCCTTGTCATGTTATGATGGTCGTTCGCGCTTTTTTATCGTTGATGTTTGTGACGAAAGTGCACGTCGTTTTCGTTCCTATAAGTTACAAAAAAGAAAGATATAAATTCAATATTTTTCTGTGCAAAAAGTATATGTTAACGTCCAATCATCAATCAAAGAAAGCTGACGGATCAGATTTCCGTTTTTTCTTTCATTCATAGGCCATGAAGGTATGATAATATTTCTACCCTTTATGTAACAGTATATTGTATACAGTGAAAACGTATATACTACAATATGTCATGATGAAATATTCACCTTGAATGATAAATAAAAGCCTATTTCAAAACATTTACGTGATTGATCATTACCGATGTATCTACGTATACGAAGAGCTAAGATTGAACTTTCTCTTTCTTCTAATAGACGGAACAACCATTTAAATAGTCAAAATGGGTGCATCAAAAATCATGCAATGTTGAGTTTAGACTAAGAATATTTTTTCTTTAGATCTCTTCAATATCTCTAGCAAATCGCTAATTTCTACGCTAAGCAATGTTTCTTTTTATAGATTTTTCTCGTAGTTAATAAATATATAGAAAATTTTCATTCACAAAATTTTTTGTTTCTATTGAAAATATTCATTGCCTAGTCTTAAGATTATAGTCTTCAAAAACTTTGCTTTTTAATTTGCCTAGACCTAAACGTCAATCATCAGCAGAACCAGTGTCTTTATTTTAGGATACGATTACATAAAAGTAATATAATTTTCACAATAAATTATTTTTGTTATCCTTTCGGTTACTTTTTTTCTGTAGAATAACATGTTTTAGGTCGTATAGAGATTTCTACGTGAAACGAAAGGAACCTAAGCTGAACTCTTGATGAATAATCCTGTCATTGCTGACAGTTTCGTTATGTAAATAAGAAAGAAACTAAAATCGATGTAACAACGAAAAAACTGTTTTGTTTCGTTAAAGTATTTATGCGACTCAATTAAGTCTTGAATAATTGCATCGGTCAGTCAAGATAAATATACAATATATATTTCCTATACAATGAATTCACATAACCTACTGATAAAAATAGAATATAGAAAAAAAATGAATTTAATTGATTGGATGTTTATATATGTATCTTCTTATTAGAAATAACTTAAGGAGTCTTACAGTTGTACTTGTACGAACAATATTTGTTGGCTCAAATGAATCAGATAACCGAGGTGATGTTATATTTTCGTTTGGTGTGCTTGGTTGTGATAATAAGAAATCAAATTGCTAGATAAAATAAATATAGAAATTAATTATTATTGCCGTTTTAATTTCGTTATTTACTGTTTTTGATGGTTCATTCGATGAATTAATACCAGCGCCTGATGATTGTGTTGATGACATTCCCATGTTAGTTGATCCATTTTCACTTTTTAAACGATGTAATGATGTTTGTAATTCATACTCAGCCGAGTTCAATGCATTTTTAAGATCAAATAAAAGAATAATATCTGAACGTAAATCGTTAAATTCATCAACAATTTCTTCACATGCCATTGGATTTCTTTCTAAAAAGAAATTCTTTTATTTATTACTTTGAATTCATATGATTCTTAAAATAGTATACCTAATTGACATTGTTTAAGAACTTGATCGATAACAGCTAATTTTTTATTTGGTATTGACGACGGTAATATCATCTGTATTAAATCATAAATCATATGTTACTTTAATCTTTATGATAACTTACACGTTGACTACGTAGAAAGACACCGGGACGTTTAAATTCAGGAAATTTAATTCCAACTGGTGGATCACATGTTGTCTTAATAAAAACAGAAGAAATTGAATTCGAAGAAATTTTCTTTCATTCGCTTTACTATTCGTTGTGTTGTTGACGTTCGATTTGATGAACTATTAAGACGCTGTAAATAATCTTGATTAATTGATGACCGTCTTGACGATGATGAAACAGTACGTTGTATGCAATTATTTGTTGTTGGAATATTTTGATCTTGCTGTTGAACAAATTTTTGAACATCTTGTGAAATAATACGTTCACGTTCTTTACGTTCATTTTCAATGCGTTTTAATTCGTTCATCAAATATAATTCTTCCTCTTCCTAGAAAAGTCAGAGTTCGAGCCTTTTTATTTCTCTTAAAAAAACATGATCTACAAGAAGTATTCAACTATAAAAGTGAACACAAGACAGTTCATTGATGGTTTGCAATAAACAACTGAGCATTATCACTTTCTTCTTTTGTACTGCATGAACGAATAAATTGGTAGTTAAATTCTACTGTAGGATTAATATGAAACATTTCTGCTTTTCAGCATAGCTCACATTATTTTTTCTTTCTCAGTATTTGTTTCATAGTACGAATGGCATCTTTTCATATTGACACATATGAATAGTCGTTGATGATTTTATAAGCGATCGTATTTATTAGACGACAAATTTCTTCGTCCTACCTTATTCAATCACAATCAATTGCTACTAAAGTTTGACGAATTTGTGTGAGTATACTTCATGGAGACTATAGAGTAGAACATTTTTTCTCCGTGTAGTGAACTGTTGAACATGAGAACAGGCTATCCACTTAATTTTGATAGATTTTTTTATTAACTAAATGGCTAATACTTAATGTTTTTCAATAGAACTATACCTACAATAAAATTCATAACTATTTCATTTTCTTTCAATGCATGAATTCATTGATGAAAATTACAAAAACAATCCTGTTCAACTAAAGACGACACCTTTTCTAACAGTTTTAATTACATGTGCTAAGCTTGTATTGTAAAATTTGGGCTTCAAAAATTGAGTCTATCGGATTTAAAATTATTAGTGCGACTTAATAAGTAATATGTAGTTTGTGAACTTATAATTGTATCTAAATGCGATAGAGTCTCATTTTACAATGAAAAATCCTATTCAGAGGATAATAGGTGAGTCCAGTTGTATATTACTGGTATTCTAGGCAAGAAGTACGAATAACGATCATGTAATCAGTAGTGTAGATAGCTCATTTATAATATTAGGTTATGAAATCTCGTTGACTTAAAAAAAACTATTTTTATAAAGACGTACAATGTTCAAATAAGCCATTAAGTGATATTTATGATAGTTTTTTTCTTTTTCCGTACTAATATTTGAAGCTTACTATTGATCTGTACATTCGGTACCGTATATCCGTACGACTATTTAGATATCTAGTATTAAAGATGACTTAGACTTCGATCTTTCTTTTTCTATATATTCATCAAGTCGTCTATTTATTTAAGGCATTTTTTCATGATTTTCATTGTCATTCTATCAATATTTTGCTAGCTGATACTCTTTTATTTTATTTAAAAATTAAATAATTCTTTTCTTACTTCAGCTTTCGTACGACTTAACAATTTGTTTAGTTGTTCTTTCCGTCGACGTTCATGCGCAGCATCAAAATTATATTTATCAGTATGACGTTTTGTTCGAGCCTATTTAAATTTATAATTTAAAAATAAAACAAGAAAAATTTAAAAAAAAAACGTTACTTTTATCAATACTTACATATTCCAGAGTTGTACATATTGTATAATATCGATCTTTTAGATCTTCAACAGATCGATCTGGATATAAAATATTATTCCATCTATCATGAATAATTAAAAATTTCAATTCAAATTTTCGACATAATTCAAATAAAACATCAGTTTCAGTTCGATTCCACTCTTTATCTTGTAAATATTGTTCATATTCATTATCTGTATATGTTGGAACATCAACATGCTATTTGTTTCGAAATTAAATTAAATTAAATTAAAAATTTTCTTTGTCTATTAGTTTTTTTACTTTATTAAATTTTGCAAATGGATATTCTTGTGGTGGATCATCTGGATTTGTTTTATGTTGCCAATGATATAGAACAAATGTGTCATTGGGACCACGTGCAGAATTAGTAAATGGTGTCCACTGCCATGAACGAACTTTCATAGCAGAATGTTTTATCCATCTAGCATAAGAATTGCCACCAGATTTTGTGTCTGTTGGAACTATTGGTACGCTTTCACTGAATATTTAAAGAAGAAAAGAGTTCATCTTTTTTTGAAATATTTGAAAAAATTCGATTTACCGGTCATCTTGTGCAATTAAACTCCACACTTCACGTTTCATACCTTCTGGTCTACGAATACTTTTCTTAGGACCTTTTTTCTAATAAATAAACAAATAAAATTTGATAAAGCCACAATAGCTAAAAATTAAAATTACCTTTTCACGAATAATCTCATCTTTATTGGCTGCTCCTCGACTTGTAGTTGGAATTGTATCAGAAAGAATGTCGAGTACATCAGCATTCGCCATGTGTAAAATTAATATCTATGTAATCTGAAAGATGCCAACGAATAATGTTTTTTTTTTCGAACTCAATATATTGTCGTTAAATACGAAAAAAAAAAGAAATTTACAATAAACAATTAATATCTAGCGTTCTGAAACAAAACATCTTAATCTTCGTCACTGACAATTAAATCTTCAGGTGCTTGCTCCTCCTCCTCTTCTTCTTCTTCTTCAGGTTCTTGTTCTTCATCTTCAGCTGTTTCCTCTTCTTCGTTTTGTTCAACTTCGTTCACTGCTGGTGACCTAAAACACGAACAATCAAAAGATGAATTTATAGAAACTATTTAAAGATGCCAATAAATGAGTTAACCACTAGAAAACGCTATCATTAATTGATTTTCAATGGACAAAGTACTATATTAATTTGATTAGAATCTATTTACACAAAAAATTGAAAATTTTTAATAAAAAATGGACACGTGTGAAATCCCTTCACTGAATTTCTAACCAAAATGATTATGTATTCATAGAGGCTGTTGCAATAAAAACCTTAATGTTTCACAGTTTTGTACATTATTCAAGATCTCGTGAACAAAAAGAAAGATCTGCAGAATATAAAAATTAGCTATGTTGATATATGAGCTTGTTGAATTCATCTATGAATCTTTTAAGAAAAATAATCTTTTCTAATGTGGTGTGTTGTGATGTGGCATAGTTCACGTCTCATTTTTTTTGAAAAAGACTTATCTGCTGATTCTGTGGCTACAAACCAACTGCTTTTAATTTTTTGAGAATTTTTTTTTCACAAGAAAATGTAAAGAAAAACAAATTTCTAGAACAATGTTTTACCAAATTCACTTGAATACACGTTTGTGTTATTTAATGGGAGTAGCTCATTATCGATGGTCAATGTTTTGCTCAACAGCGCAAGAAACACTTATCTAGGCATGATTTATGTTTTTATCAATAAATATAATATTAGATATTATGTCGCTAGCATTTAGGATATGCTCTAAAGATATCATACACTTGTTTTTTGAGTGTAGTATGTGAATTGGGAGTCCCGTGAAAATGACTTCGAGACTATTTACTACATAACATCGCTTTCTCAGGTTCGGAAACAATAAACTATCGTATATTCAAGATTTATATCTTATAATATTTTGTTTTGATAAAATCTTCTATTTGAAATATTAAGAAATAAGTCATCATCAAAATATCCTCGCAGTACACAACTAAAGCTTGCATTCGAATGAATTTAAAAAAAGGTTCTTGAAGGAAACTTTCTGTCTCTCATTTTACTCTTGAAAAATAACTTTAAGATTAATATAATTAAAATCATAAAGGGATAGAATTAAAATTCACAGAAACTCAGTATTCTAAACAGGTCCGTTTTCCTGATATATTGTACAATGATTTACCCTTTGTTTGCATCTTCAATTTCTTCTTCCTCCTCCTCCTCCTCGTCTTCTTCTTCTTCTTCTTCTTCTTCTTGATCATCAGCTGATTGAATCGTTGGACGTGATGGTTCATTATCAGACTCATCGTCACTACTTGAAATAGTTGCTTTCGATTTATAACGACCAGCTTGTTCCGATTGTCGTTGAGATGTCTATAGAGAAATTTAAATTTGAGGCATTTTTTTATATTTTCAATCGAATGTGACGAAAAACATACTTTCGATTTACTGGAACGTTTCGATCGATTTGTCGTCTAAAACAAGATAATATCGATTTTAAAACACCTTAATCCCATAAATTTTATTTTCTCTTTACTAATTTTCTTGATGTTGGTTTTCGTTTTGGTTTTTCTTCAATATCACTTTCATTATTATCTGGTTCATTTTCAGATAATCGTTCTTCATTATCTTGTGAAACTTCGTCATCATTTGTTGTTGTTGTTGCTCGACTTGATCGTTTTTTATGGCTTGACTTCTTTTTACGTTTAATCATTTCATCATTTTCATTTTCACTATCACTTCTAGCAATGATTTTTCGTTTCCTACAAGATAATAAATATATAAATTAAATTTTCTGTTTTGTTTTCGGTTGAAATATGAATTATAATCACATACTTCGATGACTTTCGTTCACGTCTTTCTTCACCGTCATAAGATTTTCTTGTGCGTTTTTTCTGCGTCTTTTCAGTATTTGTGATAAGATCACCGGTATCATTAATAAATTCTTCTTCGTCATCATGTTTTTGTCTCTATATTAATTAAAAATATGAATGTTACACATTGTTAATCTCAAATCAATCTTAAAATAGATTAACTTCAACAAGGCAACGTGTAAATCACATGACATTTTAAGTACATAATGGGAACTAATTATACAGAGGCTATAATGGAATGTCTGACTCGAGATTATAATCGTTTTTTACAAAATTCTATTGGCGATAATTAATGGTGACGAAATGATAAAAAATAGAATTTTATACTGTCGTGTTATACAGTCCGTGCAAAATTTGTACACGAGTGTTTAGTATAGGCTTTGTGTTTCGATCGAATATTACTAGGTGGTAAATAGATGATTCAGTTTTGGAATCAATTATTATGCAATTTATTATATAATAAAGCCACTCTTAATAGTAATCCTACAAGGCGATGAAGCTGTCGTCTACAACCTCTATTATGGTTTATACTTTTTGGATCGGCGCATACATCAAAGAAAGGTGAAAGACAATTAATCTAAGAAATCCAAAAGTATTATAGACTGTATTTCTATCAAATTCATTTTTCTTCATGTTTAAAACAATAGATCAAGCGCACTCTTTGTTATAAGAGACGAAATACTATTTGAAATGAAGGTCTATAGAGAATATAATATTGAAAAGCAAATTTCGGTGATCATTTGATAAATATGATTATATGAAAATAGATTCATGAGAGACTAAAAATGTCACTAGAACGTAGCAACTTGAGCCAGCATACAGCGTAAGAATTCCAGATGATTTGAATATTTCTTAGAGGGAATAGACTTTTCAATGGATCCTCAAATTCTCATCAAAAATACCTTTTTAGTTCCGCCGGTCGACCGTTGAGGTTTCTCTGAAGTTGATTGTGATTCTGCAGTTGTTAATAAATTCTTCGTGCGTTCAACGAATTGTTGACGTTTTTCACGTTCCAATTGTCTTCTTTCATCTTCTAGTCGACGTCGTTCTTCCTGAACAATAAAATTCTATTCAGAGAAAATCAATTCAAATGAGTAATTTCATACCGCATCTTGAAATTGTTTTTCACGTAATTTTCTTCTTTCTTCATCTTGTTTCTTTCGTACAAGTTGTTCTTCTTCATCTTTCTTTCGTGCACGAATTTCATGATAACCTGATTGAGACAACAAATCTGAACATTGCCGAGCTTCTTGTGATGCTTGATTTAAATCAAGACGGTGCGGATCACCGTGTTCACCAAGCCATGAAAATGTCCTTAAAAAAAATAAAAAGAGAACGAAATAAAATGCTGTTTTATTTTCTTAATTTAAACTTTACTTTTGAGCAATTCGAAGTTGATCAATTGCTTTAAGAACAGAATTTAATGTTGAATTTTCATCTTTTAAAATTTCTTGAGCTAGTTTTTGTTGTACCAATGCAATATTATACATTAATGTGAGATCGTGCGGTGCAACACGGCGTGCATTTAATAAAGCATTGTGTGCTTCCTGTAAACGATTACCTTTGACAAGTGCACGAGCCAAATATGTTAATACTTCAACATTATTATATTTGTAAAATTTTTTTAAACAATTTTCATACATTTGTACAGCAGGAATATATTGCTTTTGTTCAACATAAATATGTGCGATATTAAGCCAAACATCGGGCATATCAGCAGTTGCTTCACGAACTTGTGCAAAGATATCACGAGCTTCGTTAAGATAACCTTTATGAGCTAAAACACAGCCGACACCATTCGCAGCCCAAATGTTTCGATTATCATTTTTAAGAACGACTTTATATACTTGAAGAGCACGAGCTTGATGACGTTTTTCCTAAGCATAGTGAAATTGATAGAGCATTATTCTTTTTGTATAATAAGAAATTCTTTTTGTTTCGAATATTTAGTTGGTAAACTGCTGAAAAAACTAGCGCTCAACGGTAAAGTTTACCCTGAACGAAAATATTTGAAGATATGAGAATTTGAAATTTCTTATTATTAATGTATTCAACTACACTCAAATACTCGATAGTTCGAATTATAAATTGAATAAAAGAAAAAGAAAAATGAAACATAAAGAAATTCTAGAAGGAAAGACACAGATGAGTTGGAAGCTTTTTTAAAAATGAAATTAAGAGAATCTTGCGGAATAGGAAGAATATATAGTGTTTGCGTTTGGTTCAAATATAGTTAATGTCTTACTCTGTCTTTATCACGTGCTGGCATATATAAAGTTTGTAACCAAATGTTGCCTAATGAAATTAAAGCATAGGAATCATTTGCAGTTTGAGGATTATGTAAAATTCTTTCGAATTTCTTTTGTCCAGGTCTCCATTCTTGTTTAGCCGCATGTAAATTACCAATCATTGTCCATGCGTCTGGTGAATTATGATTGATTTCAAGTGCATCTTTAAACCAATCTGATGCGCTATAAATTTGTCCACGATCACGTGCCATACAACCCAGACGAAGTACACAATCGACATATTTCGGATGTTCACGTAAAATATCTTTATATAATGTTTCAGCTTTATCAAATTCAAAAGATGCTTCACATACACGAGCTAAATTATAACGCATTGTAACAAGAATCGAATTTGCATAGGCTGGCTCGACTTCACGAGCCTGTTCAGCATATAATATTCCTTGTTCGAAGCATTTTCGACTTTCTTCATAATTATTCAAACGATAATGTAATGAGCCCATATTATTAAGCATTTCCATTGGAGTATCTTTATGATGCATATCACGAATTAATTTCGATGCTGTCATATAAGCATCCAATGAAGCTAAATAAATATAAAAGAGTAGAAAATATATATATATATATATTCTTTTGTATTATTGAATTGAATTCTCAAATGAATTAGTTTCTCTTATAAAACTGATGGATATACAATGAAATTTAATTTTCTATTATTGAAGTAGTTCCGAGAAAAATACTTCTTTAGTTTTACCTTGCAGATCAACTCCTTCAAGAATTTCAGCTAATTGAATCCACGAATCAATATCATTTGGATCGTGTTGTGTAACCTTTTTCAAATATTCTCTTGCTTTATCTCTTTTATCTTGATCACTTGATTCTGCATAGATACTAGCCACGATTTTCATTGATTCATGATCATTTGGATGAATTTTTAAAATTTTTTCAAAACAATCACTGGCCTAAAAGAAATTAAAAAAATATCAAGAAAACGTTGCAAAAATGAATGATCAAACAAACATTTGCGGTATCTTCTCGTTGCAAATACATTTGTCCCAGACCAAATAATGGTAGAACAAATTTTTCTGGTGCTAAATGTGTCGCTTGATAATAATATCGAAATGCTTCTTCATAATCACGTTCAGCATGATAAGCCCGAGCTAAATGATAACAACTTTCAGCACGCATCGCTTCATTTTCTGTATTATTTAATGCATGCATTGCTAATTGACGAACTCGTGTATAATCCTTAAAAATGATTTATACTTGAAAATAAATATTTTTCAAAAGAAAATAATAACAAACTTTTTTAAAGAAAAAATGATTTGCTAAATGATTTAAAACCATAGGATTTTGTGGATCGTATTGATAAGCTCGAGAAAGTTTGATCACACCATTACGAATTGATAGAGGTGTCTTCATATTCAATTCGAGTATAGCTAAACCGACTAAGGCACCAACACATTTTGGATCAATATCGATTGCACGATTAAATGATAATCTTTTTAAAAGAAAATAAATTAGATACAACAAGAAAATGTTTCTTTTTCCAATTCAATATTCTTACTCAGCTTTTTCCAATTTATTTAATTTAGCAAATGCATTTGCTAAACCAACATGAATACCTGAAGAATTGTCTGGTGCCTGTTTTAAAGCACGCTTATATAAATTTAATGCTTGTCGATAATCTTTTTTATTAAATGCAATACAAGCACGACCAAGTAATGCTGGAATATTATTTTGCATCTATTTTAAAGCAACAAAGATTCAAATTCTTTTTCGCTCTACATCACTGTTTTACCTGATTAAGCACGAAGTTAAACTGTTGTTCAGCTGGATCCATTTTATCACCCTCGAGTAAACAAATATAAGCTCGACCAAGTAAATGATTGAGATCATACATAAGAATTTTATCAGCATGTGTATAAAGTAATGTAGCTTGAGTAAAATATTCACGCTTTTTTTCTTTGGCCTTTTCTCGATGACCACGTTTAACATAGTAAGCAGCTAATGTATCTAAACAACGCATTTGATCAGCTTCTTGTGCACGTTGACCAGTTGTTTGTTGTTGACGTTGATTATTGATTTCATTACATGCTGATTTAAGAATTTCAACGAAATCTTTTTCTTTATCTTGACGGTAATATTCCAACTAAATATGTATGTTTTTGTTTTCTCTTTCAGTTTCTTTTTTCTAATTAATTAAAGTAAAAAAAATAACTTACAGCAAGTGTAACCCAAATATGTAACGGACAATTTTCTTGTTGAAGTATAGCAAGAACTTCTTGTCCATCTGAAAGTTGATCAAGACTTACTTCAATAACCTATATGTTTTTGATAATAGAAATGAACAAGGAAAAAAACTTAGATTACATAGATCGACATAAACTTACTTCATCACCCGAATGTAATGGAATTTCAATTGAACGATGACTGGGTTCGGTCATGCTCGTCATGTCTTCTACTGCAAATGAAACAATTCTAATAACACAAATTTGATTGCTTTATTTCAGTGTAAGAGTTATTACGATTGGCTCGTGAAAATTAATCACAAATTGTACTGTAACATAGATGTCACCCAATGCAAGACGCTACAACACTGGGAAAAAAATGTATATATATGCGACTAAAGTGTAATACGATAAGATAATAATCGCTTCAAGAAAAGAAATTATTAGGGTCTCACTTTTTGAAAATAGTATCTCCGATAAATCTTTGCGTAAACGAATAAAAATATCGATGCCGAGCAAATCGTCAATATAGCTCTCACTGTCGATCATTCAATGAACGCATATTCATGTTTAGAATAAACAATACTCCAATTAGTACCATTTAATGATTATTTCCAAATTCAAGTATCTGACTATTCGGGAAAAAATAAAATATAAACTGATGAGCTATGACATTTTTATGTTCAAGGAGACGTAAATCATCTAATGAATAAATTTTTTGAACTTAATTGTGATCTAGATTTCTAAGGCTAGTGTTGCCCACTGCATTTGTTTTAATTAACCAGAAGAACGTTCATTGAATAAGCAATCTACTTAGGTAAAATTAAAGATAATATGAAGGTTGATAATAATCCATCTCTATATAATGAGACTCCTATCAGTGTTCTTTGAAGGTAGTCATACACAGTCCATAGTTAAATGGAGATTCGTTGAATTCATGGAATGAAAACTTTTATTCTTTTTTCAGTAACAATCAAACTGTTAATGTGACCTTTAAATAATTGATACAACAATGAAATCATTGTTTTCGTTAAAGTTTTGTGAAATTCGCTTTGAGAGTTTATTATTCTCGATGGTATTATAAACAAAAAATTGTTTAGTTCTGATAAAAAATGAGTCCGAAATATCACTGGCAGCAAATAGACTGATCTATTCTATTTACTCCTCTACTGTTATTGTAACAGCTCAGTGAAGAACTCTTTTCGTATTCATAGCACGCAATTGACGATATGTGATGTATGACTGTTAAAACTTAATGATACTGACTAACACTTTTCATGATAGTATTTAATGATATGCTAGTCAACACATCAGACTAGTCGATTTTTATTCAACTTCATTCCATTAGTAGACATAATTTTGTTTATTTTTCGTGAAAATATATGTCCAGACATAATCAACAGACATTGTTCTTCTATTACAGCGGACAATTACGTACATAGAAATAAAACAATAGCAAATAAATAATCACAGGTTTAGAACAAAAATTTAAATTTAAATTGGCAGTTGATGCTTTATATCATCAATATTTGTTCTTAGCATAGGTTGAAGTTCAAACAAATGGCCGTCATTACGAAGATGACATGTACATTGCTGTTGATAATACGATTGAATAATATTTGTTTGACGACATGAGGATGATGCGTGATGATAATTTGCACATAGACGACAGTAAACAAGACAATAATAATGCGCTGAATTATTATATCTTATTTGTTCATATTCATGTTGAATATCATTCGATAATAGCGGTTCAATAAAACCACAAGGATATTCACTTGAAGGTGTACTCAACGTTTGATCACTACTACAGCTATCACTTAATAATGGAAGAAATTTCTAGAATGCAAACAAGAATTTCTTTTCTTTTTATTTAATCATCGAAAATATTGATTTAAAACATTGTCAGTCGTTTAGATTTCAATTTGTTTGTCTGTCTGTCTGTCTGCACGTCTATTTAGTTATCTTTCTATGATAGATTTATATTCTCCATATGGATTTTATATTGACTATTTAATAACATCAAAAACGAACTCACTCTCCAATGTCGATCATGATGATGACCATTAAACTTGATTGATGAACAACTATCATCATACTGTCTTTGACGCCCTTTTCTTCGTTTGATCATTCGATTTCTAAAATAATAAATGGAATATTTCATATTTAAATACATAAAGAACGTTATAATATATGTAAATCTTTGATATTTATTCAACATTTATCCATATCGAATAGATTACATCGATATTTTTCTACCATCGTTTCTCTACATCAAAAAGACGTGCGTGATGTGCTGCTATGCATCAGAAAACAAATCAAAGCTTGGCATGTCCCACTTGTGAGAAAAATAAACGTGTGTGCATAGATGTTATTAGTTCTGAATAGAGATGAATGTCATTTGTTCAGTATGGAAATTAAATCTTATATGATGACACCTGAGAGACCTTTATGATCGATATGAGAATAGAGTAGAAAAGAATTTCTTTTATTTACTTGATTAAAATAACTGTACCAGTTGTGATAAGTAAAGCGATCATGATTCCCAAAGCGACAGATACAGACGACGACGATGATGATGATGATGATGGAGTGACTTGTTCATGTGCTACGGATGCTGATAATAACATACGAGATGAACAACGAATCTCCATAGATAAAAATTTTGGAGGTGGACCCATAGAAAATATTGGTGGAGGCGGAGGTAATTGAGAACAACGTTGACATTTATGAGTCGTAGTCATTTATATAAATTTATTTGCATCGATTTACTAAAATATGGAAACGAGAAGATGTTATAATGAAGAATGATGAAAGAAATACGAATAGTTATATAAAAATGTCTTATATTAGTTGCTCTCCTAGTTTGACACAACTGTTGGCTATTGAAAGGTCATTTTTTTTCTTTTCTTTTCCTCTTGTGGAGAGAACATACACAACCGACTCTTTGATACGTATTCTGCAAATAATAGAAGCTTTTAGATCATTTTTAATGAAGTTGATTGCAGACTAGTATAGAAAAGAAAGTATACTACTATGATAGTAATACACTTGTGTCATATAATCTTTTTTAGAACAGTAAAAAGTTTATGTCATTGCTAAATGAAACGTATAGAACTTACCATTATTCCATTTATTTGAAAATTTAGGAGAGCATGTTTTGCGTCAATCAAGATGAAATGCAAAAAAACGAAGAGGAAACAATATGTGCAATCATCTCATGCCAGGGTCAATCAGACTAGATTTCGTCGAGTGATCGAAGAGGAAGAGGAAAAGAAAAAAATGGACAATCACGAACTGTAAGAGTAAAGAAAAAGAGCGAATGATTGATGCAGAATGTCGAGACATGCACAATTCTTGTCAATAGAACAAGGAAGATGACCTGTTTCAATAACTCTACTAGACCATTTGGTGTGAAGATTGACATGCCGTTTATGTTTCTTATGATCCTATAATTATTCAAAAAGAGATAGAATAATCGAGTTAGTTAGAATAAAAGCTAAAACGGCGAAGTCAAGTTCATATTATCATTTGTTTTCCGGGTCAGTTTGTGTATAGAATCAATCTATTTCAGGCACAGATTTTGACCGAAAAGTTGTTATACACAACGATCTTAGATTAACGCAGACAATTCTAACATTAGTTGTCGCGTGTTTGGATATCTGTCTGTGTTCATATTAGTGAACTTTTTTTTAATTTGCCTGTCATATTCGGTCATTTTCAATGGCATCGGCATCGTCTTTTTTTTCTAATAATAATAATATTGTAAGATTTCATTGTGATTTATACGAACAAATTCAAGATAACTGAACATCGTATTCATGTTTATATTGAGACAAACAAAACAAAAATATGCCCGAATCTTCATCAACTATTGATCAAGCAGACAGGAACGATTACAACAGACAATCCTAATTGCACATTTATCGTGATTAACGAGCAGCGTAGAAGAAGTAGAAGCCATGAGAAGCAATAGATGATGGTAGGTAACGTCTTGGAAGAAAGAATACTAGTGATATACATGCGACTGAGAAGAGCAGACACAAGTGTTTGCCCCCCGGTGTGTGGAATGAACAGAAATTTGATTAAGCATTTTCATCCTAGGACAACAGTCGTTCTAATCAACTAGACGACTAATTCAATCGAATGCGTGATCAAGCAATAGTGTACATTTGGTACCAGCAGGTGCCATTCTCTCGAAAATTACGTCAAAGAAACTCGCCAAATCATTAAATATGTTATTTTCAGTTGAATGAACAAAGTTACGAACACGGATTAACGCATTTTGCTTAACATTTTATATTGAGATAAATGAAATCTTGTTGGCGATTAAATGTTCACACTCTGAAAATATTCATTTGCAATGATAAACGACTTCAGTTGGTTGCAAATGAACCAGAGAAAACAACAACAATAATAATAGTAGATTATATCTTTTATCGAAAAATAGATGAGAACAGAACAAGTTTGAGCTGTTCGATTTTTTATTATTATTCGATATCAACCGATGACAGACAATTTGTCTGATATAAAGTCGTTCATGACAATGATTCATGTACAATGTATATTTCAGTGTTTTTTGTGTTGCCTTATTTCTAAATACAAACAGTATTATATGTACAGAAACTAGAAAATTTTAACATTTTCCATTCTACATTGTCTTGCAAATGAATAGTATATGTTTATATTGAATTAGAGTCACAAATTATCTGATAATTTGCATAACTCTGTGAATAATAGAATATTTTATCACATCTGTTCAGTGAACACATACTTACATGAACAGAGAGATGCGTCCACTTCTTGTTCATTAAACTGAACTTTGATGATGTCTCGTATTGGTTGTCTATTGTTCATGTCTAATTCGAGTGTCAACTTCAAGTGGAAGTATTGAAAGATGAAACTTTCTTCTTTCATTTCATTTTATCAATGACATGTGTGTATATGCGCTTTATTTGTCTTCGTTCTGCTTCCGTGTTTTATTTCGTACGAAAAAAAAACGAGGTACAACTCAATACCATATGATATGCTCGGTCAATCATTGAGTCATGCATGTATAAAAAAAAGATTGATTATTTACATTGAATTTCATTTGATGTATTTAAAAGATAAACAAGCAACGCATGAAACTACCGTAACTAAATCAAACACGTGTGAGGGTGATTACTGATTGAAATAATAACTATAATGTTAATTCTACTGAGAAATTATAAAAGTTTTCACTTCTTGAGTTACGCCTTAAATTTAGCTGCCTAACCAAATTTGAAAAAAAATATAGCTTTTAGAATCTTGGGTTGATCATTTTTTTCTTAGAGAAAGATAATCAATATTTTTCTCCATATTTATTCGTGGAAACAAATGAACTGTAAAGTATAATTCAAAATCTTTATACAATCATAGCTTGCACACACACAAGTAGTGTCTACTATTTACGATCTATAAATTTTTACAGATGATTGATTCAATACTATAATCGTATAGCATCAGAAAA